TCTCGGGTCTCTCGCACGTTGGCCTCGGCCTCCTTTCGTTGCTCCTCGACCTTGGCACCCCCAAACATGCTGCTCGACCTTGGGAAACACCAGGATCCGGCGGTGGGAAACACCACGTTCTGGGAGGCCGGACGTGGTTTTTGTGGTTTGCATAGCCAGTAGATGCCAGTAGCCAGGACTAGTCTTACTAGTCTTTGTCTCAAAAAGCCCTTTTGACCTCACGCCGCAATTGGATCCGAGTCTTTGATCCATGACCCCCCCTTTGTCACCGGCCCAAGCCCGAACGTCTCAACCCTTTGACCACCCTCGAAAACCGGACGAACCGAACAGTCGACCAGACTCCGCGCCCAAAAAATAATCGCGAGCCCGGAGGCCGTGTCTCGCCTAATCTCGCCCTCTACCTTCCCCAGTTGCGCCGTCTACTCTCCCGCTTCCGGTCGCGCCCAACCAGCTTGGTCTGAGCGCCCCAAACCAGCTTGGTCTGTTCCTGCCACGTCTGTCGCTCCCTTTCCAAACGTTCTGACTCTGCTCGAGCCAGGTTCAGCTGCGCCAGCAAGGTCTCCTGCAGCTTCCCCCGACTCCGCAGGGGTCCAAAACTGGTCGATCTGAAGTCCGATCTGAAGATGAAGAAGAAACAAACACGTCCATGGGACTTGGAAGAGATGCATCACAGATCTATTTTCCCACGAACATGACCCTATTGATCCCCCCTATAGTGTAAGTAGAAGTATTCCATCTTGACATGGGTGGTTTGGGTCTGTACATAGTTGGACAGTTCCAGGGGTGAACAACTTGCTTGAAATCAAACCACACTGGGCTCATGGACTCTCACTCCGTTTAAGGCAAGCGTTGCGCTCCAGCACGACCATTGCATATCAAACAAGCATGCCGTGGCAGAACCAGCAGTCACGGGGTGCCCAGCTACTCTACTCACTCAGGGACTAAAAACCACCCTGGCCTCAATGTGACTCTTGGAACTGCAAACTTTTGCTCAAAGCAAAGGTTTACAAAGGCGAGGCATGCTGCCTTCTAGCGGAGGGCATCTGCTCACAGATTTCCATGCCAGCCCATGGTTTGCGAGAAGCAAATCTATGCAAATCTTTCTGCAACACTGGTCTCGAGGCTACTAACACAACATAACACCAACTACACCCCCGCAAAAAATACAACACGGTTGACCACAGCACGCATTGACCGGTCACCAAGTTGCACGCCTAAGCACACACACAAAACTCGAGGCGCCGAACCAGTCGGGGGCCACCCAAAACTGGGACGACCTACACGAAATCGAAGGGTGGCAGGGCTCCCTCCCCACCGCCCTGCTCTTCAGCAGAATGCCTAGTCTGGTGTTGGAGCCAAAGAATCCAAGGGGTTGGATCTTCCAGCCAATTGAGCAGTTCTCTCTGGGTTTCGCGATGTCTTTCCACGTATACGATTTTCTCCACCAGAACATCGTAGCGCGGTTCTGCTCGCTCACCCGGACGCCAAACTGCCAGACTACGGATGTGTTGGCATCAAACAAAGCAGTACAACTGCCTTGTGCTTTGCCCATCCTTGTCCCTCTTTGTTCCCCGAAACGGCACAAATGTTTTCCGTCCCGATACGTCTGTTTTTCCGGTCAATTGTGACTTCCGTCCTCATGGTAGGAGATTTGCTTCATGAAGTGTTCGAAGGCATCTTGGATCGCTCTTTTGCTCGCTTGCCTCGGCCGGTGGCCACGACCGTCGACCGTGCGCCGGGCTTCGCCTCCCAAAGGTGAACGTGAGATGCCAGTCGGTGAGACGCGTTCGATGTGTGGAACAATCACGTGTCTCGAAGGTGAGTGAGACACCGCAAGGTCTAAAGGAGTAGTTGGGAGTCTGTGAAGTGAAGCAAAGCGATGGAGAGCGGTGTTCCTCATATCAATGTGCCGTCCGGGATTTGGCACTGCCATCCAAAAATGGTTGACGTACGTGTTGTAGTGCAAAATCCTTAGTATAGTTATTGTTGTTTGGTACAAGCTATTCATGAATTAATGGTGGTTAGAATCCTAAGGTGAATATGTCTTGCACATCAAGAGTAAGGGGAGTCTGCCAGAATGCTGCATGCTGCAAGCAGAACAAGCATCAAAGTCGTTCTGTTCCTGGAACGTGTTCAAGAACCCCAGCACTGTGTTTCCAAGTCTTGGGCCGAGCCAGAAGCCTGGTGTTTCGGATGCAGCCCCGGGACATACCAAACCCGTGCAACTCCACCACCAGACCGGGGGCAGTGGGGGGGGTGCAATCCCGACCTTCCATCACTCCCAGACCCATGTATATAACGTGTTTAGTTACATACCCGGACCATCCTGTCTGAGTGTCCTGGCTGGACATCTCTGAGTAGTGAAGGGTAGTCCAGCCAGGACACCCAGACAGGATGGACCTGGTACATTTACTTCAAGTTATGACCCTAAAATGGTTTTGTGTTTACTATATATTTGTAATATTTTGTAATTCTCTATAATTCTCTACAGTACATACATGGATTGTCTGGGACTCGTCAGCAGGGCAGCAACAGAAGGAATTATAGACCCACTTCTTCGGAGAGAATTCTCCGTGATCGTTCGAACGGAAGGTTCGGGACCGTAACGGTCCAACTGAGAGGCCAATTCTCCGTGCGTCAGTGGACGACGGAGACCTTCTCGGGTGGATCCCGCAGAAGGAGCTGGCAGACCAGTTGACCCATTGGCGAGAGGTGTCCCTTCTGGAGTTGGGGTAGGTTTTGGAGTGAGGTGCAGCGCTCTTGTCTGCCACCTGTTCCACTTCTGGGACCTGGTAGAACAATGGAATCTCCACTGAACCATCCATAGCTGGAGGTGTGGGTCGTAGCTGTCGTAGCTCACTTGTGGGTGAAACCACTGGAACTCAACCTGTCCATGCTGAACACCAATTGGACACCCTTTTCGGCTATCACGTCGGGTCGACATGGCCCAGTCTCTTTGGTCTTTGTCTTCTCCAAATGGCAAGTCACACTCACCATATTTGTCACACTCAGCGTCGATAAGGCACCCAGACTCCCCAGTCATCACGCAGCCAAGTGGCACTTGCTCCATGGCGATGAGTCCCTTCGCGTCCCTTCAGGTTGCGGCGTGGGGTTTCCCCAAAGAAGCACGGAGACCGGATGAGACCGGATAATTCCGAAGCTGACAGTTGTTCAGGCACCTTCTTGTAGCAATTCAATTCATGGTGGATCCGGGAAGTCATGATATGGTGGATCCGACTCCACTGGCTTGGGACTGCGGCAAGCACACTCGTTCTAAACAAAGCCACTGCTATAGACTGTAGACATGAAGCAAAGCTGAAGATCCAAACGAGGCCGAGCATCTCCGAGCATACTACTAACAGCCATCATCAGCCATCCATATATAGCATATAAATATATATATATAATGCATGTATATATCATATCATATGATATGATATGATATATATATATATAATATAATATGATTATATGGTACATCTCTGGCACCAGCCGGCTGAGCCGGCTCCGGACGAACCCACCCGCTCGGAATCCCAACCCCCCCTTCGGCTCCACCGCGGTGTGCGGCTCATATCCCCAGACACGACCTGTTTGGGACTGCCATAGGACTGCCGATCAGGCCAGGGGTGGTGGTTTGAGGGGTCAATTGATCGGCATCTATGGCAGTCCCAAACAGGTCGTGTCTGTGTATTGTTGGGAAGACGAAAGATTGGAAGATCAGACTGCTGCACAACACCGCAACACCCAATCCCTGCCAGTGTTTTGAAAAGGCAATGTGGTTCCCACATCGTCGCATCACTCGTTTCCATCGGAACGGGCGTGTCAAGAGCGCATCGTATGGGTTTGCGGTTTTCTGTGCCCCGTAGCCGCCGTAGCTTGTGCAGTTCAATCTGTGTGCGGTAGATGTTCTCCATCCACTTTCTAGTAGCAGCGTGTGTGTGTGTGTGTGTGTCTGTGCGTGATGTTTCTCCCCTGAAGGTGATCTTCAGGGTTCTTCAGCTCAGCCACTGCTGGATCCTCCCACCACTGCTGGATCGGATTCGGAGCCGTCCATGTTCCCCCCCATAGATCCAGAGACCGGCAGTTCCCATGAGAGACCGCTAGCGCTAGCGTATCCACCTGTTTGATCCGAGAGACGAGTTCCGGGTCGATCCGAGAGACCGTGAAAGACTCAAACATCGGAACATCCTCAGTGTGTTGTTTGGTCGATCTGTGGCGCAGTCAAACACATCGGAGCCACAGCCTTATATATTTTTTGTCTGCGAATGTGTCTGCAGTTTGCATAATTTTGTCTGACATATTCCAAGGGCCTTTATACGACGAACTATAGAGCATTTATTGGTGAGCCACAGGCGTTTTTCCCGAACTAGAGAAACATCCGCAGACTCAAATTTAAGGCTGTGACTCCAAAAGATGTTTTTCACACCGCAGATCGAGAACAACAAACAAAACACTCTCTGAGGAAGTTCCAGGGATGTTTGAGTCTTTGAGCGCACTCACCCAACGATCGGATCTCCACCGGTGCCGCTGGAGGCGACCGGCGGCCGGGTCGCTCCCCTTGTTCGACCGCGAGGGTCGCAGCTCGTCCATGCGGTCCTTTGGAGGGGACGAGCAGCGGAACGACCACGAAGCTCGGACAGCTGATCGTACCATTGGGAAATGGCCCGCTGTTGTGTATGGGAAGGAACGATACTTCGATGAGACCCTGAGGGTCAAAAAGCAACATGTTGCACCTTATCCTGGACTCTGATTCTATCATTAGACCTTTATCTAGCACTATATATAGTAAGGATGGACTAGGACTCTGGACGGTTTACAGTTGGCTGAAGCTTTCTTGTTCCAAAACAGAATCACCACGGACTTCAAAACGGCCAGTAGGGTGAGTTGTTGTCCATGGGTGTCCATCTTCCACTGAAACACTACCACCTTAGCTCTATTGGGACAGTCACACCATTGGAACCTACAAAGCACATCTAGCTTCACAAAGGGCAAATCTGGCCCAACATCGTGTTCAGCTAAGTTCAGCTTCGCAGCCGTGTGTTTCAGGACGTGGGCCACGTGGGTCCAACGCCACCTTCCCGAGAAAAAAGAGACCACGTTCCGAAAACATGGCTCCCTCTGCCATCGCTGCCGGTTACCGGCTTGCCGGTGGCGTGCGACCGGTAGACACAGCCGCGCTCAGAACTCATCAGGGCCCTCGGTGTCCGCCAAGTACTGGCGGATGGTTCGGAGGACCTCGGTGGACGAGCGCCTCACCGATTCGGTGGTGGGAATTGGTTCAGGGCCGAGACCATCAAGCAAAGCTTCTAGATTCTGACACCCGAGTGAAGCACTTCGGAAGAATTTACATGTTCTCTTGTTAACCCCACAAAAAAAACTGGAAACGCCCTGCGCCGAACCCTTCGGCCCACATCCACGTCGACCCACAAACCCACAGGTTTCGGAGTCCCAGTGTCGGCCCATCTCAAGGGGGGGATTGAGGCTTTTGCCACCATGTCGCGGAAGGAGTCCCAGTGGTTCCAGCTTGAGCAAACCACCCAACGAAGTCCTGGTTGGTTACAGGTCGTCTATTCTGTTCAGTATCGGTGTTCAACCAAGGTCCCCCGGTTTTGGCCCACAGCCACACACAGAATGAGTACAGTGGCCTGAGATCCTCTGGGCAGAGTTCTTCCCACATCCCATCGGTTTTGAGTGGGAAGCACTCTGTGACTGGTGCATGCTCACACAGCCTCACACACACACAAACATCTAGCACAAATGTTGCAGAACAACAAGTGGTGAAACTTGAGTTAAGGTAGAAAGCCTGCTGTGATATGATTGAGTACTTCACAAGGGATCCAGAACAACTTAGAGTCCACAACCCTCTACCGAAGACAGTTCGAACGAGTTTCCCTTCTGAAGGGGAAAACTCTGTCATTCCTTCTCGGCTGAGCTTGGCACACCACTTCTCTGATTCAATTCTGCCAAGTACATGGCGCTAGGGCCTGATCCCGGTCGCCCAGCCACGGATCAAAGGTTTTGATCCAAATGTCATTTACTCAGGTTCTAGGTATATATGAACAATCTTTCTTGATCCGACAACTTGATCTCGTCAGGTCATTGTGCGAACCATGGTGACGGAGAACAGAGTTCATACTTGGTGTATCTTGGTGTACTTGGTCTTAACACTCCGTTTTTGCACAACGACCTAACACGCCCAAACGAGAGTTTGAGATCACATCCGCCACCCAACCTCCCATCAACCATCACCTCCATGTGGCTCACCCCAACAGACTAGCGGACCGGTGCACAATGCACGGACCACGGACCAGGTCAACCCACGGTCAAACAGACCAGGTCTCCACGGCATGGTTCGAACTGCAGGTTACTGCGATATACCAAAGCATCAGTGCTGTCAGACTTCTGAGGTATGGATCGAAGATGATCGAAGCCAAAGTGCGGAGGGATTCCAACTTTACAAGACCCAACAATTCGAGTCTAAAATACGCCATGGCAGCACCAAGTCATCTTAAATTGCTACATGTCTGACCATTTTAGCGGAGATGATCCAAAGCAAACGAATCAAAACCACCAAGTCCAAGTCTGAGGGATGCAGCCGTGCACATGCAGTTGGCGCTCCCTGGTGGTCCGATGGGTTCCTCGATACCTGCCAGGCAGTCCGGTCAGCACCGGCAGTCGAAGCCGGTAGTCTCGCAAAGCTGGGTTTCCCGGGTCATGACCCAAACCCATTTGGGTGTTGGTTTTTATCCAAAACATCACGTGGAACCCTGGTCCAGTTCACCCCGGAAAGTCGTCTTCCTTTCAGGAGTATACGGAGTACATACCACGTTCACGTTTTTCAATAGTGTTTTTCATGTGCATGTCGTCCGTGTTTTCGTCGGAGTGTGGGACATCACTACGGATGAACCCCCGGATCTCATCCCGTCCCTTCCCGGCCCAACAAGTCACCGTAGCTCTCACCTCACAGTCCGAGGGGCAGGTGGTGCCGTGGCTCGGATCCAAGTCCGCGTTGGCGTGCAAGAGAGTTTGCACGGCCTAACAGAATAGATCAGTATATTGATCTATCTTGATTTATCATGATTCTCCCCAACTTCAGTTTTTGTACTTGTTGATGCCTGACTTAGGGACACCAAGCTTTGACTCGGAGGAGAGGGCTCTGCAGAATTGGATTGCTCCACCACCCAGCATTGGCACTAGGTGGCAACCCAAGGTTCCAAAAGATGATCTAATTATATATAGTATTTAGTTATTTAATTTTACTGGAACATGTCATGAGATTTCATGAGCACAGGCCGTGAACCGTTAGTCAACTTAGTTCTCCTGTTTCGATGCTGAATTCCTCCTTCCCTTTGGCGCCAAGGGAGACCACACACCACAAGACACCCCAAACCAAACACCATAAAACCAGTCCCTCCGGACAGAACCGGTCACACCGGTCCCCTTGGAGTGACTAGGTCGGTTCCTAGGATAGCTTCTTCCCAGGCTGGGACAGCCTAGGGACAGCCAAGTCATATGAAGGGTGCTTCTTCTTGATAATCCACATTTGTCTAGGCCATCCTGCATGTTATTATTCATTAGGTCTGCTGCATGCTTTGATGCGATAAGTCTTTTTCAGCCGGGTAAGTCTTGATGGGAATGCGAGGAATCGGCCTTTCTTCCGGTTTAGATACGGAGAGGTCAAGAATCTCTTTCACATGTGAACCATGCCTCTAGGTCAAAAGGATCACTGAAGCATCCAGTCCCGCATGCTTCAAATCAGAATTGCTCGTTGCTGCCCAGCATTGCTCGTTGTTTGCCAATGGTTTTTCACAACGCAACTTGTAGGGCGCAAGGGTTGCAAAGAGCACATAGTACAAAGTGGCCGTAAACATCTGGAACCACTGGCATCAGTCCAAGGAAAACTGAAAGGCTAATGCCGGAAACAAGGATCGGGCCAATCATTCAAAGGTATAAGGGTCTCAGGTCATAAACCGATAAACTAGTGCGAGCACTGCGGGAATAAAGGAGCATCCACAAGCTTGATTGATGTAAGCTAACCCGTCGTGCTATTGGATGTCAGTCAGCCAGGGGCACCAGGCATCAGAATGGCCATGTTCAGCTGCCAAGAGCAAAGCCTGGTCTGGCGGCATTCGGCTCATCGATGGAAAGGTGAGTAGTCCCGATGACTCTCGAAGGAAAAACTCCTTCACTGGGATTACAGAGATTCAGAAAGCAACTTCTTTCCCTCACCAGAACATGTGGATAGCCAACATCCCAAAATCCAACTGGCCGGGCCCAAAATCCAACTGCTAGAGCCACCCACTCACTTCTTGAAGCCCACTTCAAGTCTTGATCTAACCCATTTCAGGGCTGGGCAGCATCTCCGAATCTGCCAATGTTTTTGGGGTTGATCATGGTTGACCTATGTACAGACGATCTGTGGCAACAGGGAGATTACTGGGTCGGCTTACCAGCTTGTTTGGGCAAATTGCGGATCACAACATGTATAATTAACTGTATAACTACCATGCATGAACTTTAGATTCTATTTTTTTTTTGGGATCATTGGGGGAATCAGCCCAATCGACCAGCGTCCCCGGAAAAATATGCTGCGGCCAAGGGAGAAGGGATACTTTCTGCGGGGTCGTCTCCAAAGCTGGTGTTTGTGTCCTACGAGTATGATGTTTCCAACGGTGTGAGAACCAGCTTCCATAGTATGGAACAAGCCAACGTGACCAGGCCTCACCGCAAGTTATTGTATCCAACATTTACCTACTATAACACACTGTAACTACCGGGCCCCCAAACCGTGCAAAACCTACCCCCGAAATCTTCTCCAAAATCACCAAATCATCTCTATCCAAACACTCCTTCACGTTCGAACTGCATCAGCGGGGAAAAACATCGGCCAGGCCACCTGACCAGCTGCAGCCAGTCCGAATCCGGAGCTGGCAGCTCACCCGACCGGCCCTCGGTCTCCGCGCCGTGCGGCCCTTGAGGTTCTTGGTTTCGACGTCGGCCTCGCGCTCTAAACAGGTCGCCAAGATGTCCACATAGCCTCGACGTGGGCACTTCCACCACGGCCGGTGAGTTCTGAGGACGACGGCGAGGTACCAACGGGTATCAAACGGTGTGGACGGAATGGGAACCAACATGGATCTGAGATCTGAGAAAACTCAACATGAAGAGAACCCATGGTTTGTTTTTGTTTGTTTGCTTGAACTAGGCTCAAAAGGTCAAGGTGTCCGTGTATGGCCTGACCCAGGAAGGATTTGAACCTCAAATTCCCTTTGGGCCCGGTGGGCGCAACAGCTTAGTCTTGCAAAATCGATACCGTATCCAAACCTGGCAACTGGGGCCCACCATCTTTCATCCAAAAAGGGATGCGCGAGCCGGCTGGGTCGCACATGGGTCGCACGAGTGGGCCCAGGCCGCATGGCGGTGACACACAGGACGTGGAGTCGAATCATCTGCGGAAGAGGCGAACGGTGAAACACTTCCCTATAGAAACAATCAAGCAAAACCATCTCAAACCGGGGTGGTAGGGCCTTGCTTATGCACAGATACAGATCTATGGTTCCCGCCACGCTCCATCCTATGCCAATCCAAACACTCGCCACGCTATACCACCACGCCTGTGATGGCCGCAATCGTGAGAGCCTGGCGCGCCGTTTATTCGTTTCGGACGACAAAGACATCAGAAACGGAAGTGGATGGCGTTGCTGGAACTGCCCCTGGATGGCGACGTTCCTCTACAAACAGGGGGTGCCATCCACTTCCATGGAACATGAGTCGGAGTGTGAATGATTTAACATAGAGAGGGAGGTATGTGTGTGTATTATATATATATAGGTCCGGCAGGTCCCACAAGGGTCCAGGTGATTTAGTAGATACGGCTAAGGTATGCATCTGGAATATGAATTTTCAGAAAGAAACACCCAAACACCTCGTTGATCCCTGGAGGACTTTCTGGTCACATGTCTGGTAGATGTCATTCATGATGCACCACCACACACACAAAGTGTAACAAAGAGGTTCGGGAATGCGACTTCAACCTGCAGTTCAATTAATGTTTGTTTGAAGAGGTCTTTCGCCAAACAAAACCGGCAAAAGCCATTAAATGCGCCTCTTACGCCAAAACATGTGTCGTACCTGAGTGGAGCTGTGTGGCCACACGGCCTAAGCGGCCTAAGCAATGGAAGCCTTTTGCAAGTGGGCACGTCGATTTGACCCTCCGAAGCTAGGCCTGCTTGCGATGGCTTGATTCATCCTGATCGAACCCCCCCAGACAGACTAGCGCGAGGAAACTAAGTAGGACATGAGGCAATGACCCCGCACTACAGACTCCTCAGGATCCATATCTAGCCACCCTCCACTGCCATCGCAGTCCCAGTGCCCACCCAGTGTCCGGCACCGGTCCCACCGTGTCACCGAGCTTGTCTCGGACGTTGATCAACTCGGCGTCCCCTTTGGGGTCGCTTAAGGCCTGGCCACGCCGAGCGCGCCGGCCGCGCGCCGGCGGATGGTGGCCATGTTCGCGCCCTGTTGCCTCATTATTAGGACACTTGTGCTTTATGAATCCATCTAAATTAACCTACATATGAAAATTGATATACAGGAATTACATGAAATGTGGATCATGGATGAACATGCAGTTTCTGTACATATTGTGTAGTTCATTGCAGCAAAGTTTTCTCACATATTCTATTCAATATATACTCCTGGCTCAAATCCCAAGTGTGAGATTTCTATTGGAGTAGATCAGTATACATATACTTGATCACAATAGACACTAGCTACTAGTACGTTAGCCATATGGTCAGTGGAGCTCATATAAATCAGGAACAAACAGGAACAAATATCTCGACCACATACCTAACCCTGTGCATCCCAGTTACCACTATATAAGGAACCACTGGTTACCAGCTATAGTAGAGTACCAAGGGATGCCCTGTGTAAGAGTACGTCTTTGTCTGCTTGCTTCGCAGAGTGGAGGTGGAGGCGGCCTCGCGGAAGAGCTCCGAGTCGCCGTTGAGCGCAATGAAATGGAGCACCGTACCTTCCCGAAAAAAGGGAAGACGAACAGAGACAGCCTGAGACTTTCGACCTCCTTAGGTAGTTGGTTCTCATCATTTTTCCTGGTCAACCCCGGGTTTCTCGGTTTGGATTGACGGGCATTTGCAATCATGAGAGGGACTCTATATGTGTAATAATATGTAATATATATATATATATCTCTTAGGTTGGAGGCTATACCAGCGCCTTCAATCAAGGGTCACCTGGCTGGAAGCCCTAGCCCACTACAATCAGGGACCTCCAGACAGGACACCAGGTATATTTATATATTAGTTATATATATATTTATAGTTTTACTCCCAGGAATGATGGTCACGTGGATCGCATGGCCCATGGTAGGTGGTGTACTCTCCTGTTTCGTGGTGTTTTGTTTCTGGCGCCGCATGGAGCCGCTTCATGATCAGTCGCAATGAAACAAGGGAACCAAGGAACCAAGTATGAAATCTCTTCAAACGAACCACTTAGTGCAATGGCACCGACCACGACACACCGTCAGTTTCCACATGCAATTCGTTTGCGGAAAAAACCTGGTTTCATCGAGCGGGGAGCGGGGAGCACGACCATGCTCTGCACTGAGGCCATTGATGCCACCGATCCTGAAGGCTTAGCATTCCGGACAAATCCCGAGCCGGATATGGAAAACAAAAGGTTAATCGAACGTTCCATCTGATGTTTAGTGGGGAAATGCGGAAGCCCAAAAAGGTTCGAGGTGATCCACTGGGTCGGAACCTCCTTTCATGCTGATGTGTGCATGTTGCAATTCAAAGGGCGGCAAAAGAAGCTGAGCTGTTCAGAGTCCGGCCCCATGGGCCCTTCCGGCCCCATGATGAAAAGAAACAGAGATCCATTCTGAACCGTCCAATCCTGAAGTTCAAAGCAATGGATATCAATGGATTTTGAAGGTTACTTTGGAACCGCACGTGAGTGGAGAATGGGCTGTGGTGCCTCTCCAATCCGCCGACCCCCGGTTGAAGGGGGCGACGTGCACAAGGGAATACGTGGTGCATGTAGGTTGCGGAACTAGATGGTGCACGAGGTGAACGTACTCCGGCAGGTGGGCATACCAAAACGAACAGTCTATACAGTTTTGTTATTGTTTTGGTATGGCGGCTGGCAAGACGAGAGAACATATCAATCACGCAAAAGAAGGGTGTTTGTTTTTTCTAAATATCGGTTTCGAGAGTGACATTTGGGTCCACCATGGTCTAGTTGTTGGTGCAATACTGTCCAGCCAGCTGAGCAAACAAACTGAACACCAGCAGAACTCGACGGCAAGCGCGCAGAACAAGCGCGCCGAACCGTTTCGGGGGTGGCTTCGGTCCAGGACTCCGTGTTCTCCCTTTGCTCGATGGTACCGGTGGGGTGGCCTTTTCTCCGTTTGGAAGGGTTGAAGAAGAACGGTTCGAGCCCAAGAATAGGGAGAAGGCAGAAACCGTCGTGGTCTCCGTGAAGTTGGCCCGTTCGGATGCCACATGCTTTTCCAAGGTGCCAAAGGGAAGGGACGATATAATATATCATACAATGATGATATTATTAGTATTCAAATCTATTCCATATAATAGGGATTCCTCCTGGATGCTCTCAAATGCTAGCTCCCAATTGGCATGGCTTTGATCCCTCGTCAAGCTGTCAAGCTTGTGCCAATATGCTCAGCTCATGGTTCTCATGGTTCAAGCTCTCACGGTTCACACAGAATCCCATCAACCATCATCCATCATCAGGTCATCACCTTTATTGGGGGGATGTTGTCTCAAATACCTCCAACCTTGTTGACCTTGAAAGTGGGGTGACTAATCCTACGTCAAAGCTGAACAGCTGGCAACAAGGGAGAACGCGTGTTTTCTTTAAGAGTTGGCATGTTCCTGGCGTGCTGAATTAAAGGGAGATAATAGATGTGACTCAAGAAAGAACTCATGTAGAATCTAAGCATGGCCGCAGAAGTTGGCAGTCGGAAGAAAGAACCATAATATACTAAGACTAGTGCCGGAAAACAGAGAAAAACACAACTTAACTCATGAATTTGAATATTCATTGTAGGTTCTAGCCGCAGTGATTTGGTGGTTTCGGAACTATATAGATTCTGGAATCCCGGAGCTCGTACGACGAATCAACATGCAACTTGGTCAAAGCTGTGTGTTTGCGCTGGCGACGGAAAAACGATGCTGGATTGACTCTCGGAGGTGCTTAAGGAACCGGGAAAACCAACAACATCAAACAACAGAAGGGACGGATCTCATCCCATGATCAAAGATCACCCCATTTCGCAAAACCAGGGAATCGAGATGTTCCCAGTGTTTGGGGAAATGGATGGTGAGGGGAGAGTCCACCCAGCAACAAGGGCGGGGGCCGACCCAAATCATAGATTTTCGTGGCTCCCCAAAAATTCATGTCATAGCTGCAACATGTTGGTCTGGTTCTTGAAAGCAACTGCACAGTTTACGGTGTTGATCCTGCCAAAAAGAACTTACGTACTGCACAAATCTTCAGATCTCATGATCTGAAGAGATCCTCAACCTGAAAATCCCACGGCCTTACCAGAACCTCTAATGGAATCCTAGTGTAGCCTGAACCGAAACCAGACGGGGTTTCGTGCTACATCAACAAAAGCACAGGGCAACATGCGGCAAGAAACGGAGCGAGGTATACACATGCTCGGCGATGGAGGTACATCAGCATAAGTTGGAAAATGCGGCCAAAGCTGCGACATCATGGTATGGAAAGGTCTACTCTTGCCCACTGAGCAAGTCCCACTTCAAAGGAAATTTTCTGGATTTCTACCTATAGCCGCTATAGCATCCTATAGTCACATCACTGCATCCACAAGTTCAACTTACCCAACTGCACCCGCCAGTGACTTTTCTTTCGCATATCGAGGGTCACCCATATTTGTCCAAAGTCATAGAGTCATTGCTAGCCATTGTTTACTCTTGCTAAGAAGAGAACGTTTGTACCAGAATTGATTTGGTTACTTTTGGTTATGGCATGTTATGGCCTGTACAACTGACAAGAACTCTTCTCAAAGGCCTTAGGATTCTTTGCTTTGGTCTTCAACCTGTCAAAGCTATGCCGGCTTGGCGTGCTGGCTTAGCGCGCTCATGTTGACTGCCTTCTGTCACTAAAGGAAACCAGGGGGTGGGGCACCTGCAGTATCCCTCTCCAACCCCAGAGAAAAAAAACAAACACACATCAATCATCTACATCCATCTACTAGTGTATTGAGTGTACCAGCACCGCCCAAAGGTAGTCATTGGTTAGGGGGGTCTACCACCCGACCTGGGAGGGCTCTATTCCCAGACGCTCCATGGGACTGCCGTAGATGCCGATCAGTTGGGGTCGTTTGAGGGGTCAATTGATTGGCCTATATGGCAGTCCCGTGGAGTGTCTGGGATTTCTATGTCCGGATGGTTTTTCGTCCTCGTCCGGCCTGGAGGCCTCGCAGCTTTCGGTGCCCCCACTTCTTTGCCTGCATGAGCTTGCTGACGCGATTCACCCGGCGCCTCAGGGGCAAAATCCCGAAAGCGACACGTCACGTGGGTTGCCCGGCGGTATGAGTTCGCCCAAAAAGATCGCGGCTGACGGAACATTATGACCGGCCAAGAGATTTGAGGTGTCAGGGCTCTCAGTTTGTTTGTTTCTTTCCGAATGGCAACATGCAGTTGCAAAATAACGTCCAGAACTGTGCCCCACGTTGAGTTGGTCGCGCTTCTGGATGATGAAAGTGAACCCAGGAATCATAGCAGTATCACACTCAGAGAATGTCAAAGCGATATGCGTTTGTGCCCCCACACCGCCTTTGGAGAGGCTGCGGGAACCGATGCTACTTGATCAACCAATGAGGCGGTTGTGGGATTTCCATGGATTTCCGGTGTTATTTCTTCATCTTCCAAGGACCCTAGGTCTTACATGCATCTGATGCATCTGAGGGAGGGCACAGTTTGTCGTGATCTGTGGACAGACTCCACCTCAACCATCCAAGAATCTGAGGGATGGACCTAGGTCAGGATACACGGCTATGGCACTTGCAAAAATCTGCTTCTTGGCTACTGAAGGCTTGCAAAAGGGGCCGTAGCAGCTGAAATAGTAAGCACGGATCCAAAATGAATTGTGAGTAAGGCAAGGAAGTGCAAGCAGGTTGGCACCGAAGCAACACACAGAACCATTTTCTTGCCTCCAGTAGCAGCAAGAAACCAACGCTCACGTTCCAACAGGTGCAAGACAGTCTCATCCTCCGCCTCCGCTCCACAGATGGTACTGAAGCATCAGAAAGTAGAGCAATCAAATCCCATAGGCGTTTTCTTCCATGGTTCCCTGCACCTCCCACGGCGTCGTCGTCGCGCCGCCCTGAGTTTCGATCGAGTTTCGATCACGCCGCGTGGGGCGTCTTCTCCGCTCCGAGGTCCCAGGCCACTTGATGCGATACTCCCGGTCCTCCGCCTCCACCAGGGGCATCTCCCGACCCTGGGTGGCGTGGGGAGCGGCGACGGTCAACGACCGTACCGATGATTCGGAACCCGATGCGGCTGATGTCAGCTGAGAAAACATATGTTTGTGTTGCCAAATGTTGCCAATATGGTCTTTCAGTCTTTGAAGGCTAGGGCCAGGGTATCTGCATGATAACATATGACTTAATGACCTGTCAGGGTGGTTGTTTCATGTAGTTTCCGGCGTCAATGTAACATATGTGTACATTCCAAACATGGAGTGTGAGGCAGTGTCCATCTATATAGGCTATCTCAAGTGGTGGAGCATCTTGCTGTTGAGAACCATCTGTAGCACGGCAGCACTAAGCCCTGGGCGGCCCACATCTGCTTCCCTTCAATCTGGCAGTCGAGTGCAGTGATGGCTCAAGTCAGTATGTGAACTTTTGGTCCCGCGAAACTGAAACATAGCTAGAAGTTTCCAAGTCAATGTTTGCCACATTTTGCCACACGTGTCTTTCTCCAGTCTATTCGTCCACTGCCCATGCACTGGGCACCAGTCACCAGTCCAAAACATTCAAGGCGCATAAGGTTTTCTTTTTGCAGTTTTCACTCAGCCATGAATTACCACTACTGCCGTTATTTCCTTTCTAGGATGGAAGTAGACATTGGATCGAACTTCGGGCATTGTAGTAGTTCATGTAGAGAGCACTCCGCCCAGTTTGCTGCCGCAATTAGTCGCACTTTTGACTTTCCAACCGTGCAAGATATTGCAAGCAAACACCCTTGGGACAATTTGAAGCAAAGTGTGTGAGAAAAGCAAGCATGTCCAGGTAGTTCACCGAATAGAAAACCTTAAGCTCATAGAAGATCCATGGGAAGCTCCAAGAATTAAGGCCCAAGATCGCTTTTCGTCGGATATGTGTTTGTTCAATGTCTTTTCCCAACTGTTCCAGTGGTCTTCACTCCAAAGGGGTGCTCTCCGCCCATTCGGAGAAAAACTGCGAGCCGCTGCCGCTGCGCACGCACGAGTTCAAATCATGTCGGGACATCTTCGATCTGCAACTCTTTGAAGGGGCATCCTCAGGCTGACAGGATGATAAGAGGTGGATTGCAGCTCACAGGATCACAGCTTTAAGCCTCTTTCTTGCGCCCAGATCCTATTTCTCCTCCGCAGGCAAGACATGGATCTGGGCAAGTGATTCCACAACAACGTGTTTTTTTCGGGATAGCTGGACCTAGCAACTCAGCGGTTCCGCTTTTTCTTGGGCACTTGCGACCCGTCCCTCGCGTACCCGTCCAGGTCAGTCGGGTGTTGGATTGACCATGGATTCGATGGACACTGGTGACCGTGGATTCGTTGCTTCGATGGAAGCTGGTGACCGGTCACCGGTGTCACCTTCAGTGTCTTCACCACCCACAACAGCCCCAACCTGCGGAGAGTGAGGGGTGTCCTGGGTGTCCGGGGTGAAACTATCACCAGTGTCACTGAGGCTTGGTGTCCGCTCACGACTCCAGGGGCTGCTTGGATCATGTGCTCGTCTTTTTGTGGATCCCGAGTTAAACTGAAGTCGTGACTCATGGACCACCTGCAGGGGCGCCCTGCAGTCGTCCCTGAAGAGGAACCAAAAAAAATCTGCAACCAAGTCAACCGAGGGACGAATGTACAGTGTGGTTCACTAGTGACTGCACGGTGAGTCTGACTGCAAAACCACAAGGACTTCTCCAGTCCATTGACCGTCTGACCCTGAAATGCCATGCCATATTCCAACTATGCCAACTCTCTTCACTACCTGGATGTATCAAATCACATTCCCTCGTAAAGAACCAAGTTCACCGACTTGGGATTTGCATAAGGAACCAGGAACAAATGTTTAAACATCCCCAGAAGGGGATTTATCCATTATGCCATATAGGGGCATAATAACCATCACTATAATATACGCAAACATCTGGAAACTCCCAGTACTATAGTACTACTATACTACTTCATCTACTTCAGCCCCCCCCAAAAAGAAACACAGCTGCCCGTTCACCCGTTCATACCCTACGCACCCCGCCCTCCAACCGCACGGAGATGGCCACCCTGGCGACCGGGCAACCGGGCCAACCTTTGGGCACAAAAAGTGCCGAAGCTCTGTGAGTGTCAAGTCCTTGGGCACCAAGGCCTGCAGGCAAGGCCACTCTCTGGCGGTTCCCCAAGCGTTCCAAGAGACTGGAAATAGCTTAATATACGTGCATTGACCCATCAAACATGCCTACATTGACCCAACAAAGCACTCCAATGTAGATACTGCTGATATTACATATATGGAGTGTCTTGGAAAGTTTGGTGAGGACGCTAGCTCAGATAAATTAATCTACTGATATCTACGGTATTGGCTTGTGGTTTCTGCTGGGCAACAATCTTGTATTAGACAGGATAACGCAATCCGTACTACAGAGGAGTCATATATAGTGTTCCTTCCCTAGTTCAGTCGAATCGCGTCCAGAATAGCTTTTATATATGTTCCAAGGCTTAAGCATCCCTTGCTTCAGTTTACCACTGTACCCGCAGTAGTACCTGCAAAGCTGCTATCTCAATCTTGGAGAAAGCAACTCTCGTTTGATACTCTAACTACAAGATACTACAAGCACAGTTGTTTCGCACAGTTTGCCTGTGGCTGCACAAAGCTCTGCCTTCAGAAGCAGGCTTGAATGGCTGGTAATGGCTGCCACCGGATGATGCTAAGAGCTGTGTACAATCTGGGAAGCCCAGGAGAATTCATGTGCCTGACCTGAGCATGGCCTGACCTGACTGTAGCTACTCTGAACCCCTTCCTTCCCATTAGGCCGTTAGGGCCAATGAGATTTACTGGTCCTCCTTCACATCAAGGCATCATCGGCTCGACGCGTGGTCCTCGGTCCATCGTCTCGCCTTGACGTGCTTGAAGCGGTCAATGGTCTTGGAATTGTGCAGGTATACCTGGGTGGCGGAGACCCCGGTGGCGGAGACCGGTTGGCACCCCCAAAAAAGACGAGTCGAGCTTGAAAGGTTGGGACCGACAGCGCGAACAAGAAGCACGGGGCTGCGAAGGAGTGGCTGCATGGCTTCTGTGCTTCTGTATGAGAGTCTAGCAAGTGTTGAATAAAGAAGGACAGGTGGTGTTTATGTGAGGTACATTGTCCCCAAGCCCAGGCCGGCTTCTCAAAACAACAGTTCTTAGTGAAATAGTTTCCAGTCTCTTCCAATCGTCCGGGGGGAGCGTGATTTTTTCAAGTCGATGCACCACCAGACCCACTGCGTATCCAGACGGGGAACTTCCGTATGACTTCAGGGAGGCCAAAGGAAAATCAACTCCCCAGCAGATCACGTTCGACGGGGTGTTATCCATGGAGGTTGAGGGTGCCCCTGTCACATCCACTCACTTTTCAGGGGACGAACCACACCACCCCCCATCTTGTGACTCCTGGCCCGCAGCTTTTGTTGGACAGTACCTTGAACAAAAAAACTGCATTGACAATCTGACCTTTATATCTATCCCAGACACTCCATGAGACTGCCATAGGACTGCCGATCAGGCCAGGGGTGGTGGTGCCAGAGGGGTCAATTGATCGGCATCTATGGCAGTCCCAAACAGGTCGTGTCTGGGCATCTTGTGTCCTTTCCCATGTATTTTTCGAGTCGGGGAGAACACACCACGTCGGAGACCGGTGGATCTGAATCGATGAAAGCCGGTTGAGATGTGCCGGTGGAACACGAACGACCAAAGGCCAGACTCACAGATCCACAGGACGCTGTTCTTTTGAGGAGGTGTGGGTCTTTCAAGCTGGCGACCCCTGTTCTTTCCCATCTGCCCTCACGGACCAATGCACAGAGATTTCACGTCGCCTGGGAGGTGTTGACCTACGAATTCTTGGGGCGAGTTTGGACTCGTTAGATCTGAAGAGCAGGGCGCGCATCTCCGTTCTCCGTTGCTCCGTTTCTCCCATCTCCGTCTCCGTCCGTCGAGGCCTCTGGAGCCAAAGGCACCCAAACCAAGCCTTCTGGAGCCTTCTTCCTCTCTGGAGTGTCCTGGTCGATCCACAAGGAACCGAAGGACCGTGCTGGCACCGATCCACAAGGGACCGAAGGACCCCGTCGGCACCAGTGATCATGCCCTCAAACAAGGACCGCTTTGCTGTCCAGAAAAGAGGGGAAGAACATCATCCCCAGAAGGGGATTTGGCCCATGGAATCCCCTAGGAATATGTAATGTATCCCTACAAGTCCAGTTTGACCCAGTAAAACCTTGTGTTTTACCTCCTTAAGTAGTGTTTTTGTATGCCCAGGTCTAGTCAAATGAGGTCAAACTGACCTTTATGGTAACCGAGTATCGATTTGATTGTTGTAGATCTATTTGGGGACCTCGACGAATGGCCCTTCAATGGCAAAATACTAAAAGCGACACTATGGCAAAATACTAAATGGTCACCAATGTTCCTTTTTGGGCCCTTTAATTTGCGTTGTTGTATCTTTTGGGCAAAATAGTTTAAAATCTATAAAGTAACACCCGCAAAAACGGCAGACTCGACAAATCCTCTGAGGTCCCTTTTTGACGCTTTGATCTGCATGTGAGTAGGACCCAGCTCGATTGCACCACAGACTTCATTATATCAACGATCTTCAAGTTGCTCATTCTAAGTATATATATATATAGAGTGATATATATATATATGGAGTATCTAGTATTCAATGTGATATTCAATGATACCTCTGTATGGAACAACCATCATGTGCCAAAACAACAATTCAGCTTCAACTCTTCCCCTCCGTCTCCGAACATTCGCTTTTTGCACCGAACCTGCCGCACACCGTCACCATCCCACCGTGAGTCACACCTCCTGCGAATTGGGCCGCTCCGTGGTGTCTTCCGCGGCAGCCGTGGCGTCTGCCGCGGTGTCTCCCACGTCATCGAGGTCTGTGATGGGAGAAGTGGGCCTTGGCTGATGGCGCAGCGGTCAGTGTGGTGTAGAAGTGAGATTGAAAGGATTTGTTTGCGGCATCTGGATGCATTGGATCCAAAATAGATGATTTGAATGTTTGGACTCCAGAAACTCTTCAAAAACTAGCTTGCAACAGATTGCAACTAGTGATGTTTCACAGTTTACAGGGTTGAACGTTGGACAGATTCGGGATTGACATGGATGGACCCCTTGCAAATAAGTCTATTTGGGGAAGCCGGAGTGCTTCTCAGCCTCTGTGAGGAGAAATGGTCATTTCCTTTGGTCGGACCAGAGTCGGCGCTCTCTCGGGTCTCTTGCCGAAGTGAGCACCGATGGATCGGAAGCACGGAGAAGCACCGATGGATCGGAAGTACTTGTGTAGAGTCTGTATACTTCGTAGTGTCCACCCAATCTCATGGGTTTCCCTCAATGGTTCCGATCTTTCAGGAATGCCTTCTCACCCAGCTGCTTCCCTAAAACCCGAGCTGTTCGACTTTCTCAGGTCCCAGCTCCTCATCTTCCAGGATCGCCTCCACTGGCACGGCATCCACCGGCGCCGGCGCATCCGAGGATGCGCCTTCGTGGTCGCCGGCGTCGCTCACGCCGTCCATCCTGACGAATAGGACTGGAAGAGTTCCCTGGACCATCCTGTCTGGGTGTCCGGTCTGGAGATCCCTCAGTCGTGGAGGGTAGTCCATTGGTGACCCATTGGTGATCCATTGGATGGTCCTGTTATATAATGCTATACATGGTCATGTTCATGGTATTTATTTTCTTTCAGGAAAGAAGACCCTTCAGGGAATAATCATCTGGATCTCCCATTGCGGGCGGTACTGTACCTACCCTCATGCCTCATGTCACCCTGTGTGCTGGTTTGAGCTCACCAGCTCGGGAATCAACTCGATCAGGGACACCCCCATGTCGGAAATCTAGCAAGCACTTGTTGACGGGAAAAGTCCAGGTCACTGTTCCTGCACTCTGCCTCGCATATATAGGAACCCATTTGACCCCTGTTTGATGGCGGAAAAAGAAGGAACATATTTGGGTGGTTGGTGGTCCAAAACAGAGGTCAGTCAGGGTCTAGATATAATATCACACTTACTAATAGATATATTATTTTAGTCTGAAAACTATATATTATGACTATATAAAATAGATCTGATTTAATTTACTTTAGATTTGTTATTTTGGGGAGGTTCCGACCTGCAGATTCGCGGAACCCAAATTCCCAAGATCTCCCGGGTGCCACGAGTTCTCCTCGTCAACGGGCGTAAGGGAAGGATACTTCCACATGGCGCGAAGAAAGAGCTCCACTCGGAAGAATTGAGCGAAGATATGAAGCACATTGGGATACAGGATCTATATGGATCTATGTATCCAACAAATCAGATCAAATCCCATAAAGAAATCGAAAAGGGAACCTCCCCAACCTCCTTTTTCAATTGCGGTGATGTTGTAGCTGCGTCTAAACTGGTTGAAGGTCCATCAAGCATCTGCGGCATCTCTACGTGCGTTCCAATCCAAAGCCTCCCGCTTGATACTTGGGCCTGCACTGGCTGACTCGACTCCCACAAACAAATGCCTCACAGTTCTTTTCGCGCAACAGAAAAACATGAGGAAGGAACAAAGTCTTCAATTTGTTCAGCCAAAAAGTATTTTTGTCAGTGCTCTAGAAATCTTTCACCCTATAGCCTAAGCCTATGGATTGGGCCATGAAAACTAGGAGAGTTGGAATTTGTCAGGGGTCCCCTGAATGTTTAAGGTCAACATGACATGTCACCTCTATGTTTCTGCTTGCTTCAGCACCAAAGCCTATCGATCTGGAAGCACAAAGCTGTGCATCTGCAGGCTCGACTGGAGTCACGGATTCCAATGAAGGGTAGTGCGGAAGCAACCACAAGGGTGGTGACCAGTGGTGATGTTTCTGTCGCTGTTATTTTTATCTTTATTTACTTCCTACATTCACGTGATGCTTCACTTGTGCATTATTATTGTATACGCAATTGAGTGTCATGTGGTATTGTTTTTTTTAACATATTGTTTGCAAAGTTCTTCCCATCACTTAGGCGTTCTTTCCCGTTACTTGGGCGTTCTTCCCGTTACTTGGGCATTGTTGCCCGTTGCTGAGGCGCTCTTACCCGTTCCCCCCCCACAACTACAATCAGTGGCTTGGCTGGACAAAGGAATTGTAGGCTCCCAAAAAGCTTTGTCGTTCTGGCTTTGCCTCCAAACGTAAGAGTGCAAGTGATTGTGCCTTTGCGTTTTTTTCCTCGAGGCTACAGCTTAGACTGCTTGTGAAAATGGGTGGAATTCTCGCCTATAAATGAGGTTGGGTAAATTCAGTATTTCCAAACCAGGGTCTAGGTAAATGGGACATCGTAACCTTGCATGAATCCAACACCAAAATACAGCTACTGTAGCTGCAGCTCACAGAAGATTCTTCTTGGAAGGGTAGCTGTGGTCCAGTGTTGCTCAAAATGAGTAAGTCCAGAAATACCCAGAAATGATCAATGACAAACACTCACGGGTTCCTCATTCTGACGACATCCAGGATTATCAAAGGAATCAGCTATCCAAGTCAGTAACGCCCTTTTTTGGCCAGTTCTTGTGTTCCTTCTCCACATGTCTCAATCAGTTCTCCTGCAATTCAAATCAAACAGACCATAGACCCTCCCTCAATATTCCCCATGTGGGGATGGGTCAAAACATGTCAAAACCTGGAGCCACCATGTAGCTTGACCTCCCAAGTAGGCCGACCTAGGTATCCTGGTTTTGACTATGGTTGTCGTGCTCGCAATCCAGGCAAAGACCACCGTCAGTTCCCTTTTGTTTCCTCGCCCACGCGCTTCTCTGGCGCACGAACCAACCCTTCGGAACGGGGCATTCACTTCACGAAGAAAGACACGTCAGTCTCGGCCACCAAAAGACCAAGAAATCACATCACAAACTCGTTCGCGGCAAGGCTAGTTAGTAGACTTTTCCTCAGAACTTTGCATGTCAACAGAAACTAGGCCCATGGAAGCTGAAAACCACTGAGTTGTAGAGGAAAGTTGTCACAAAAGTCTTCCAAAAGTTCCTTTTCGGAGCCCATCTGGGTCTCGGCCGGGTGTAAACTGGACGTAGCATTGAAGGCTCCCGTTCCAAACTTGGTCCGGCCGACGTGGCTGTTCTAAAGATTATCACTGACAGGCCTCAAAACAGAGCAGCGCAAGCCGGCAAACAAAGAAAAGGCTCCACAAGATAGGACTCAACCACCCCAAACTCCAACGAACCGGGTTAACTTTGAGACATGCCCAAAAGCCTGGTCACACAAGGCAACGGAAAAAAAAAAGACACACGCAAACAAAGAAACTATATAGTTCTATTTCAGGTTCACTACCGATGATCCACGGGACATGCTCAGATGCTCAGGCGTCTCAGGCATAATAAGCACAAGGCCCAATACAAACAATTGGAAAATTGAAGCCAAAATCAAAATAACATTCTTTTGTAATCTTTTGTACATATTACTATTATAATGAAATCTTTCCGGTGGAACTCACAAGTAGGTACTAGGTGCCGTGCCCAACTGAGAGATTGTACTATTGATACAAGTGTTCTCACCCTCTCATGTGGCTTCTGATCACATGGATAAATCATGGATAAATCCTTCGTCCACCACACAATTCGTACATAAGAAATAAGCTAGGAAGTGCATCGCTACAATGTTTGCAACACGATACAGAGCTCATGTAAGCTCCCTTGTTCGTCTCGTGGCCAATCGCTCCATGCCACCCTGCTCGAGCGGCCGGGGGGGGCCGTGCAGCCTGCAGCCTTCGCCTCGGTGCCGTGCAGCGGAGGATCTGCGCTTCAAGAGCTAAACCTTCTCACCCCTGCTGACAGCTTTCACTCAGCTAACCCTCAGTATCAAACACTACTCGTGTTCACCACTCAGCGAACCACTCGAATTCGACTCCTCCATGCCCATCCCATCGAATCCTCCACCGATCGCCATCGATCGACACGGATCGCTTCGTCTTCAGCGCTTCGCCCGAGGCACCGGAAATTCTTTGGACGAAGACTTCGGACGTCGCCGGGACCTTTGGACGGACGTGGAGGGCACCGGGTGGAGGGAGGATCGGGGTGGGACCGGATGCTTCTGGCAGAGCGGAGGCGCGCGGGGTTTGGTGAAGGTCCGGATCTTAGAAGGTGCGAGTAGATAGGTAGGTGGGTGGGTAGGGAACATGTAGAAACTGTCCCATGAACCCAGTGGTCTCACCTCACAACTTGCGAGGTTTTGCACGTAAAGTGCACACCACCACCGCAACTCCAAGCTCTGGAAGAGAGGAAGAGGTGATCAACCTACACCGACATCCGGCAGGGAGGTTCAACATTCGGGGTGGAGGCCCTATACTGTACCAGAAAATACGATCGAATGAGATTCAGTCGTTCCAAGACCAACATAGCACTGCAACTCAGTATACCAGGTATACTACTCAGAATTTCAGCTCGTGCTGGATCTTTCTCTGTCAACAGTCCTTCTGGATCCTGAAACAGCGGATCAAACGGCACCGAAAAGGCTCGGTGAAATGATGGTTCACCAACCAAGAAGCCTGTGCCAAGCCTCTGCGCCATCCGTAGATCACTCTAGCCGGCCGGGTCACTCTGCGTCTTTCGGCAGGTCACTCCAAGCTACAGAAAGTCCCGTGCTAAGCAGGGTGCCCAGAAAAAGTCCAAAGAATCCATGAGACTGGAATACGATTTGCCGATCAGTTGGGGGGGGGTTGTAAAGCATGGATTGAAGTGAATCTCTCCACTCCTTCACCCGTCATATGTATACATGGTTTTCAACCTCCACCTCGTACCGTCGAAGCTGGGAAGTATCGAAATACCCCACGTTAGGGGGCTTCAACTAGGAGCAAGAAGCTACTAGGGACTCCTGGCCTTGCTACTAGGAGCAAGGACGCTACTAGGGGCTCCTGGCCTTACTACTGGGAACAAGAAGCTAGTAGGGGCTCCTGGCCTTACTGGTTATTACTACTAGGAAATAGATGTCTCCGCTTTCGGGAAATCGTTCGTCACGTCTCGTCTCGTCAGCCAAGTTCGTCACCTGCGTCGCGTCAAAGGGCAGTGGCACCAAGCACCCCTTGCGTGGGCGCTGGAGTGACGTGGAGGTGCTGGTGCTGGCGTCAAATGTTGTCCATTCCCAAACCAAAACGAATGGGACTGGAATATGCCTTATGGGTCATCACTGGGCTTGATGTATGTAACTTTATTCCAGTCCCATGGATGGTCTGGCATTGCTGGCAAAGGATACGATAAATATACGATAATTTTGTACTAATAGTTCTGCGACTGCTCCAAACATAGAGGCCCAAACCCAGGTCTTGGGCTATCGAGTTGCAAATTTGCTTGCAAAGACTCCTAATACGGTTGTGAGTCAAAACCTGGAGCACCCAAACCCTGGGAGGTTGACCGTGTCCTGACGTCCATTCTGTTCATTCTTGGTCAACCAAGGTCCGATTTTGACCCACAGCATGATCTTGAAGAATTCGATGTTGATCTCCAACAAGTGATCCAGTCCTATGTAGCCTATGCTGCTCTCGAATTCACATCCATCAAGTCGCAAAGGCGTAGTCCCCCCCAGTCCTGACCCGATCCCGTATTGAAGTGAACGCCAGCAAGTCATGTGATCAAATCATGTTTGGCAACTTCTCCTGCAACACCAGATTTAGGAAGGAGGAATCCCAAACAGGTACAGTATCTGACGGGCAACGTTATGGAGCGGATGATTATACTGATTATAAATACACCTGAAACAATGATGGAAGTGGAAAATACCCTCCTGGATGACCACTTTCCTCCACAACTTGGTGGTTTTCCACGTCGATGATTTCAGGGAGTGTAAGCCTGCAACCGAACGAATGATTCTTTCCCAAGCTTAATCCCGGGAACAGGGTGTGGAAGGCTCTGACCGGCATCCTGTCCACGTTCGGCGACCAAACTTCTTGCGCCGTCCGACTTCCCAAATGTTGACCCTCTCCAAGCGAGGAAAGCAGGAATGCTGGAAAAACTGAAACAAGACTACAAAGAACTGGTGAACTTTCATGGAACGTGCTACATTCTCAACCAACATCCTAAGCCTTACCCAAGATCCCCAACATCCTCAAACCCGTAACCGTCACAACTTCTGGCAGCCCAGGTGACAGAACTTCTGACGCCAGCGCCGCCAAAGGGGGAGACCCCTCTCAGGAACGTCTGCACCTCACGGAGGGGCCACAGGGCGACAGTGTCGGGACAAAACAACACCAAGGCCTGAATTCTTTGGACGAATTCAGCACGAATGGGCCAATGGTCAAATGTTCAGCACGGAATTCACACACTTTTTCCAACAACTCGTTCTGGATTGGTGCCGGAATCGGTGCAGTGTGACCTGTTTCAGTCTGGTCCTCATTGAGTGGTCCCGGTGAGGTCCATCACCTCCAGTAGGTCCGTATGAGGTCCGTTGTTCTTTGACCGGCCATGTTGAAGTTTGGTGTGTCAAGGCCATCAGGTGTGTCAACTTCCCGAGAAAATCACCCCCAGGTGTGGCATCCCCCTTCACGCGAAGTCTATCTCGGTGGATCACGAAACAAATCCTGCGCCAACTCACCCTGAACGCCAAACCTGCGGGCAAAGCATGGATCTGTAGGTACGAACGACGTCCAATCCTGCGTGGTTTTGCACACGTCCGTATCTTTCCCTACAGGTTCAAATAGACCTGACCTCAGACTGGACCTCACACGAGAACACTACTTAAGGAGGTACAAAAAGACCAGGTTTTACTGGATCAAACTAGACTTGCAGGGTTTAGGATGAGAATTCAGAATCACAACAACCCGAATTCAGAATCAAAAACATCGCGTGCTTCGTGCCGATCCCTAGGGCTCCAGTCGTACCTCCTCAGAAGGACTGACTGGACCCTCCTGGCGCCCACCCCAATCCCACCTTCGAAGGTACTTGGAGCCCTAGGGGATTTAATTTACTTGCATCTTCAATCCACCGGCTAGATTCTGGTCTTAAAGAGAGGGTTGGCTTTTTCAGGGAGTTGTAAGTAGATCCGTTGGATATGCTGTGGTTTTGGCTTTCGGCCAGCCAACTGTGCAAACAAGCAACATGTAATCATACTATGCTGCAATCTATTATACTCATGCAAAATGAACACCTACAATAGATATGGTCCATGGTCAACCCTGAACGAATCCATACAAGTCTAAAGCAATTTTCAGCCATGGGCATGGCATGGCACATGTAGTGAACGCTTTTCCTTGCTTGCAGGTGGGATTCGGTGTCCTCAGCTTGCTTCCCCCCACGTCTTGTTGAAGCCTCTTAAATAAGAAGCAAATCTCACAGTCTCAATGCCCTGATTATGGCGTCCTGAGGATCTCTGTTTTTTCTTACCACTGATGACTGTTTTTCTTCTTGGAGGCCGCAAAGCCTGCCAATCCATCGATCATGTGCTTGATAGGTGCAGAGAGCTGGGGTTCTGCAGGAATGGTCCTATGAAGAAAACTGCCATCACGAAATGCTTGTAGCAGCCGTCCACTCTGGAAACCTCGTCCACACGCGTCCCAATCGTTTCAGGGACGTGGAAATGAATGGAAACCCAACATTTCCCCCTGAGGAGACTCCTGAGAAGTTTCGGCTTCGTGGAAATCCCTTTTAGCATCAACAAACCCGAAATGTGGCGCCGGGTGGAGGCCTCGGTGCCGGGATCCTTCGCGACCTCAGCGGCAACGGAGGACACGGGGTGTTCCGGTGACACACCGGTGGAGCTGGGTGTCCGGTGCGACCAGCCCGGTGGAGCTGTTCATTGTTATCATGTGATCCTTCTCCGCTTTCGACTCGGGGAACACAAATAACAAAGTCTCTTTAGTCTCTTTAGTCCACGTAAGGTTCGAGACAAACCCATAAACTTGGTCTGACTTGCCTTCCTGTTACAACTCACTCTTCGCGTTTGACTGCTGAACATCTCTTTAAGACATCTTCTTCACAGCTGGAGCACACTCTGGACCACCGCAACTCACCTTGGATATTTGCATCATGTACACCAAAAACGGCAACCCCAAATGGAACATGTTTAAATCATCTTAAATCTGCTTAAATCCTGTAGCAGCACCGAGAAACGTCGCCCAAAACCATGCACAGAACGCACAGAAACACATCAGACCCCCGAAGTCGTCCCCTCAAACACTGTCCGCAAGTTGGGCCTTCTTCAAGTAGTGCGCAACTCAGATCAGCCTGCCAACTCGACCACGAAGAGAGTGGTTTGCTGTTTCTTTTTCCTGATCCCAACGGCCCCAAGCACATGCCGCAAGTGATATCCAGTGCTTTCACGGGACCAACCTGCTTTGTTTTCCAACGGCATGACGAACGGACGAACGACTGTCCGGCGTGGTGTTCCCGATATGTGTCTACTGCGTTTCGCACGTTGGTCCCTTTGCTTCATCCTTGTTGAAGGCTATTGGGCTTGGAGGAAATAAAGAAGAGGTGAACTTCACATAGGGAACTTCAAGGTTTGGCTTTCCTCATAGGAACTTGCCAAGATCTTTCTTCGCCGTCCAAAGTCCGGAATATCGAACTGGGAGGTGAGAGTGAGAACTGCTCAACAGGAGGAGATTCTCCGAGCGCGTTCACTTAAGACATGCTGATTCTGCCAGATTTGAGAACATGGCAGTGCTCACAAATGCGTTTCTTTTTCTTTGTACCCGACTACCCGACTTTTGTGTCTTCCAGAATCGTTGCCAGGGTCGTCATTGTCTTGGATTTGCTGGTGTTGGAAGCCGGGAAAAAGCATGGAAAAAAGGCAAACCAGAACATACTCCCATGCAGTACGAGATGAAGGATGAAGACCCGAGAGCCCTTTAAAACGCCATCATAGACCCTTCCAAAGGCCTCTCCCCTGGACGGCCTCGGCCATCCCGAGATCGGAGACACGGAGCGTGTGTGGAGTCGTGGAAGTTAAATCATATAAACACCTATAAATGCAATAAATTATTATACATATTTATAACTATGTACATATAAATCATCATATATGTATTAAGTTATGTTCATGTTAGGTCAGAAATAGGCAAGCATACGTTGAGTATGCCTTGCGACTGCCAGCGCCCATGCAAAGGGTGCTGATGGTTAGGGAGCCCGGGCCCTCCTGACCTGACTCTTAATGGTATCATGGGCCACACCCAATGGATGGACCATGATGGATCAATCTCGCTGAAGCCTAGTAGGATGCTCCTTAAATTGGCCCCTCTTTGTTCCCAATGGAATGGTTTAGGGGGTGGCTGTAAACAACAGGTTGGAGCATTGGCCCAATGGACACATCAGCTGGGCAAATGAGATAAAGAATATCAGCAATGATGAGGAATGAGGACAGAACAGGATGGTTTCCGGAACATTTGCATTTGTATGATACTACTATACCGTCCATTGCGAACAAACATATAGATAGAGAGTGTGTCCAATGTATGTTTAAAGTTATAAAAACAACAAAGGGTTCTTGTATATTCTTGTCCATCCATTGTGTGAGGTCTAGAAGACAACGCAAATGACTCAAAGAGCAGCCACGCTTTATGCGAGTAACACGACTTCGGAAAACAAGTATTCATTTGTGTTCCTCCCCGCCCTCTGTCCCTCCCCCTCTCCCTCGCTCTCTTTGGGGTGACACAATAGTTGAGGGTAGCTATAGGTGACAGGGAATCATGGGAGATGTCAAAAGGAACATACGTTCTTCCCTTGTCAAAGCCTTTGGGACTCACTTTGGAGTTTCAACTGGTCTAGTAGCATCTTACAACGACCCACAACCATTGGGCCTGCTTCCAAGTTCAATTGTCATGATATACTTCTTGTAATACCCCCTTAAATAGATAGAAGCAACTCTGTTTCAACTTTCAGTGGTGGTTTAGTCGTTTCGCAAGCAAACACCTTCTTCCATCTGTCACGATCTGTGCCCCGGGCCGCTTCATACGTTGGCGAAGCCTCATCGTTAGCACAGTGAACGCAAGCTCTGCAGTGTCCCACATAGATCTATACCTAGAAACTGGTGACCATTTTGGACCACCAACCACCCCAAATATGGTCAATCCTTCTTATCAAGACAGGCGTCAGGTCATGACAGGTACACAAAGGGCATGGTCCAGCTTCGTGGTTCGGTTGCAGAAGACCGGATTCCTGGACCCTCCAAGGTATAAAAATGGGATAGGAGCTTCTATTTACAAGTGGGTGTCTTCCAAATAGGAACTGGGTGGCCAAATAGCACCAGAAAGATAACACATGGCATGTACTTGTACTCAATCTCGGCACTTTGAGACTTAAAAAAAAAACAAGTCTGCTGTGGGCATCCAATATCATCACCTAACAAGTGGGTCTTGAGACTCACCGCGTGTGAGCCTTTTTTTGGATGATCCCCTGGGTACAATTCCGACACTGCTGTAGTTGCAACATCTCCTCTCCATGTGCTTCGCGGGATAGCTGCCATTGGAACTCCCATACTCAGCCATACTGTAAGACGAATGGCATCATATGATCTATTCCATCTCTCGAACCCATAAGGACGGGTCACCCGAACTCTTTCCGGTTCGAGCCCGGTTACCTCATTCTTTGGAGCTTCAATGCCACCAGATCCACCCACAGCGCGGGCGTGTGCACGGCTTGAAACGTCCAGCGACGCACGCCAAGCGGAGGCTATCGCAGCAGATCCTGCCGTAGAACCGACGGTCACCGCACGTGTGGCGGAAAAGATCCATATAATATACCCAGACCATCCATGTATGAAATAGTTACTTGCATTACATGGACAATTTTCATGTAAATTATGATAAATGTAGTATGTAGCTCTTCTATGCATGCATGGTTTGGGATAGACCCAACTTTGGGACTGCTGATCGCTTTTTGTCTATATAAGTTGTGCCTCAGCGACAGATTGCAAGGAATTTGTCGGGCTGTTGATGGCTTTGCCCGAGCTCCCTCAGCACCCAAAGTTGAGGTGTCATACGGATGGATCGTCCCTGGGAGCTGGAACGTTGACAAAAAATGCACCTGGCGCCAGTTTTCTTGATGTCTGACTCTTGTGCTCAACTGAATTCCACCACCCTATGCGTTTTGAGTGGGGTTGCCCCATTCCTCCAAAAAGCTTTTGCTACTAGGAACCAAGGGCATCGCTACTAGGAGCAAGCACGCTACTAGGGGCATACTACTAGTGACAAGAAGCTACTAGGAACAAGGGCATCGCTACTAGTAGTATTCTTACAACTAGTAACAAGCTACTATTTGGTGATTCATCGAGACCAAACCAGACACACGGGGAGACACACGGGGAGACACACGGGGAGACACACGGGGAGACCCGTCTCCTGTGTCTTGGATCATCCGTCTTAAAGGTGTCTCTTGCGAGGGAACCGCACGAACACCCCTCACTGACCCTCAGCTGAGCCAGTTTGGGAGCCAGAATGAATAAGGCCTTGATCAGCAAAGTCACACGTCAACAGAAAGCATCCCTCCTTCCAACATAGTGACCCACAAAAGTGTGATGATTCCTCCTCCTCTTCTTGTTTTTTGTTTCTATATCCTGTGAGGGAAGGTATCATTGTTATAATATGTATGCATGTCTTTGTACCCAGCTAAGAATCCAGGCCTTCAAAATGGAATGGTCTTTTTCTTCGGGCCCTCAAAACCATCTCCCGTCTCGCCCTCTCGGTCGGTTCCTTTCAGTGCGACCCCTGGACGTATCGGTGGAGCAAGGAGATTGCATGGGATACTTTCCCAGAACCAAACGAATGCAACTGGAATAGTTACATTTACCCCCCATAATGTAATGAAAGATGTAACGTTCCAGTTTTATGGATGGTTTGGGGGGGTACTTTGTCAATTGCTCTAGCGGCTCTCTTTCAGGAGGGACAGTGCTTTGGACCATCTGGCCAAGAAGTGACCCACTGATGTCAGCAAATGTCAACAGCGACCCACTCAGGGAAACGACTGGAAGATGAGAGAAGCCAGGACCTTCTATCAAGTTGTTTGGACGGAGAAGCCAGCTGTCTGACCCGGAAAATCTCTGTGACAAGTCTGCAGACTGTCTGCAGTTGTGGATGATCAACAACAGCCGATCGTCAAATGGGTGTGTAGCTCAGTCTTCGGGAGCCCGAACCGGCGACGTTCCGACCCCCTACAAGGTTCGGAACATAGACGGTTCGTCTGCCCGGCCAGGGGCGAGAAAGGGAGGTCTCCATGGGGACAGCGGATTCACCCCCCCAAATGGGGACCACGCAGAGCGCGTCCTCGGCCAGATTGCCGGTGCAGCCGCCATGCAGCCACACCTGGCGTGTTTTCTTCACGGCGCGGGAAGAAGAACGGAGAACACCAGCGGACACGCTGTGTAACTCGTTGCTTTAAGGGGTCACCCCAAACAAAGGAAAAAAAGGGTTGCTCTCCTTTCGTTTAGGGCGACCGACCTCGTGAGGAGCTCCCGGAGGTTGGAACCGGAAGCGGCTTGCTGGAGCTTGGGCGGACCCCTCCCTGTCAGGACGTGGAGAAGGACGTGGAGGCTTGGGAGACCAGGGGACGGTACTTCTCCGCAGAGACCGCACCAGATCGCTCCTGTGAAACGCTGGTTTTTCCCTACACACGAACCAGGCACTTTGGGGAAGTCACGGATCCAGGCAGCCGGTTCAGGTGCCGTCCCGTAGGGATATCAACAACGCGGGGATATCAACAGTCGGATCAAGTTCCTATACCCTCTGACCCCGACAATCCATTTACCTACTACATTGACCTTCAAAACCACCCTGATATTGACAAATATTCCATACCTGGATTGTCTGGGTGAGGATCAATGAAGTTGGACTCATCGATTAATAGTCAAGTTAGCCTAAAGCCCAGCCTGCTTCAAACTATGCAATATTCTTTTTTCAATGATACTCAATTCTCTCAACTGACCTCACAAGGGAGAACAATAACAATGACGGGCGGCTTTGCAGGAACGAATTTGTTCATGTCTATGGACTGGATTGTGAGTATAATTGCTTCCTCGTCCACACTGCATCAGCCCCCTCACAAACTGTCCACAACACCCCTGTGATCTCCCAATCATCCACATCTACTTCGGACATGTCCTACTCAGACCCAATCTGAGGGACCAAATGAGCTGTATGTAATGAACTCCTGCAGTCCTTCAGCTAATCCAGTTCCAATGCTGACCCCCAATTCATCGTACTCGAAACAATGCCAAACATTTCGCAGAAACTGCGGAGCAATCCGAGTAATTCATATATGAATGATTCATGGTGCAATGGTACTCATGTGCAAAAGCAGGGTACCTCCCCGCGGACTGCCGGCTATTGACTTACACCTCAACGAGGCACTGCTCCATGGCTGACTGTTGCCGTACTTAGGGTTCCTTACCCAATCTTGCCCAGTTTGAAAGTTTCCTTCTGTAAAGTCTCTCATTGATGGTGCTGTCCACTGCTCTAAAGAGGAGCCCCAAGTCGAGCTGCACACACGACGAACGAAGACGCCCTTGCGAACGCCAGCAGGCTCCCATCCATGGACTGGAATAGCTACATACCCTACAAGTCCAGTCTGACCCAGTAAACCCTTGTCATTTACCTCCTTTACGTATATAGTGTTCAAATAAAATGAGGTCACGACCTGTAGGGATACATTTACTGACCCATTCAATGTATGTACGTAATTGCAATACAATTGTATAAGTGTATAACTATACCAGTCCCATGGATGGTCTGGATCAGCGACATGCCAGTGTGGCGACCCTGGCGCCGGAGCACTCGGGGAATGCGTGCAACGCAGAAGTCGCAGGCCAGCAGAGCCTGCCCGGAAGACATGGAGACGTTCATCCCAAAGAGGCTGTTTCGAATGGCAAACACTGAAAGAGACTGGAAGAACATGTAAACCAGTATCATACATGGGGCATGTCCCATGTGCATCACGCATCAAACGCACCCAAACCTATCACGCAATGATAGTTAATCAGAACCTGCTCCAACTTTAAGCCACGGCATGTTCCTACAGAGAGTGTTTATGAGTACAAAACGGTAAAGAGTGTGGTACGGGAAGTAGATGAGCACCAGTTTTGTTCGCGGATTTGCCCATGCTGGATACACCTCGCCTGCAACACAAAGTCAAAGACCTTTTGGCCCACGAAAGGCAAGGCCTCAAAGATTGAATGTGGTGTACGTGTTTTCTTTGGCCTTCCATGTACGTCGTCTGTTGTCCTAAACCCACTGGGCACAGCCTTTATCTGTGTGTATTGATCTCCGAGGCAACGACCTCTTGGAAGAAGGGAAATAGACCAGTCTACCCAGCCATGGGCGATCGTCTTGGAATAAAACACACCCACTAGCACACCCATCGGATCCTTTCACCCTCTTCCAGCTGGTTCTTCTTCACAACAATAATCCGTAGGACTCCAGTCGCACCTTCGTTTCGAAGGTGGACTGGGGTGGGTGCCAGGAGGGTCCAAACATGTACGACTGGAGCCCTAGGGACGAGAGACCTGACCCACGAGACACACGGGAGTGACTGAGCTGGGGCGGATGTCGTTGGAAAAAAAAAAACACACAAAGGATGGATGGACTGTATAGTCCTATCGGTCCTATGGCCTACATGACTGGTGGTTTTGGGTGGTGAATGTAGATTATAATATATCCTTTGCGGCATGAAAGGTCCAAGTGCGAAGGGCTGGTTGTATTCTACCAGTGATAACCCATGCTTTGGCCTTTCCATGCCTTTCCCAGAACCCCCAACACTCCACAGGACTATACAGGACTGCCATATTTGCATATAATTGCCGATGAGGCCAGGGCTGGTGCTAGAGATCTTTGAGAAATGCTGGTAATCTGGGATGTGCATGTTGAGGTTCTAAACCATTCTATCGTACTGCCCATGTTCTGCATGACTGTCCCGGGTATCCCCATAGCTGCGGAGGTTAGGGTGCAGTGCACCTGTTTGATTGAAGCGGGGAGCCCGGGATGCTCGTGAGAACCCATTGTATTGACAGTCCTAATTGAAGTGTTTTGACACTTGGTCTTCTCTTAGGATCTTTTCAGGAATCCCTACGTCAACCACCAACAAACCAGAAAACCCATGCCAAGTTCTCCCACTGAGCACTGAGGCTGACGCCACACCCACCAAGCAGCGAAATATACAGAAAGAACACGCCTGGCAACAAAAGATTCACTTGACGTGAATGAGACGAGAACTATTCTGCTGAGAATGACAGCGTATCTACTTCAGGCATCCGACACCGGCATCAAACACTTCAGGCATCCTTACCACATCGTGGCAGAAAGCCATGACCCATGTTGGGTGAAAACTGCAGTTCACCTACTCTGACTGGAATCTGGTGCTCTGACTGTGAAACCATGGTGAAACCGAGGCTTTCACTATCTTTCACTCATCATCCACAGCATCCACTAACCACAGGCACCCTGCTGAAGCCGCCAGTGACGTAACGGCTAAGCATGTCGGGCCGACTGCAGAAAGAATGAAAGCACCTATGTACAAACCTGCCTGTTTCGACAGGAGACCTGGCACGTGCTGGGGGCTCAAGGAACTCAAAACCAATGTACACGAAACATATATGCTGATAAACAGCTGAGTGGGTAGCTGCACAACTTCAAATCCGGCAGTTACTGGATCAACACATTGACATGATGCAACCAACCAACAAAAATGCCAGAGGGAGGCTTCACACGTCACACAAGAGACAATCAACTTTTGTCACAGAACTAAAATCAGATTCTGATAAGTGTGCCATCTTTGTGTAAAAAGCTATCCTTTCCATTTGTGTTGTTTAAGTTTTGGTGAGTGCAACTACTACTGCTTCTTCCAGCCCAAAGACGCTGAGGTGTAGACTTCAAGATTCCACTTCCTATCCGTTCCATGATTGCACATTCTGACCGCACCTGACATTCTTGCAACATTGTTTCTTTGAAGGACATCTGCTGCAATCACAACGTTCAGTTTTCTTGGATTTGGACTCCCGTGAATCCAATTAGCTACAGCCGTTTCAGCCGTAAATGCGACACGTGCCGTTGGTCGTTGGTCGTTCATGTGCCCAACCTTCAGCATGATATATTATATATGCATCATGTTGGCTGGCTCAATGGTGGTGAATTGGGCCAGCCAACATGATGCATATATCAGCACTGCTCAATGGCTGGCTCAATGGTGGTGCTGGCTCAATGGTGGTGAATCGGATTGGTTTTCGGATGCTTCTCACGTCTTTCATCATCTCCCCACCGGTCTTCTGCCTCTATCTGCAACGTGTCTTGGATGCCAATCGATGTCGAAGTTGTCGTTGACACAGTAATCCCAAGAGGGCTGAAGGCCTCACCGCGGGGAGACCGGCATGTTCTGAACACAGCTGGCTCCAGTTCCGAACGAGATTTGATGAGATTTGAGAACAGAGATAAAACATGGGGATCACACAGTGATGGATACGAGTACCTCTTATGTTGCTTCTGATTATTGGCTTCAGTGCCCCGTTCGTGAAATCAACTTGCCGCGTTCAGTGCACCAAGACCACTCGGTGGATGAAACCAGTCACCTCGATCGAAGCGAACGAAGCGTCATGCGCCGGCCGAGAACTGTCCGACGGTCGAATCGTGAGGAATCGACAACGCAAAACGGTGCCCAACGTGACAAAAAAACGATGCAAACATGACAAACGTACCTCTTGCCGGAGAAGTGAACTAGGGGCTCCTGGCCTTGCTACGAACGGAACGATCGGACGCTACGAACGGGGCTCCTGGCCTTACTACTAGGAACAACAAGCTACTAGGGGCTCCTGGCCTTACTAATTACTAGGAGCCTTCGTCACTCCGTTTTCTCCATCTGAGCCCCAAGCCCAAGGGGTCGGCGGCACCTCTGGGGCAGCTCGCGTGGTCTACCTCGCACCAAGCCGCGGAGGCCGCTGGCGCGGCACAGCCGTAGTACTCCTGTCGCGAAAAAAACTGTAGCTTTGTTACTAGTAATGGCCTCCAACCTAATAGCGGTGGCCTCCACCCAGCAAGTAGGGGGGCCGTGGTTGAAGGAGGTGCATTCTGTGCGGGCGATATCTTCGGTGTGGGAGAGAATTGACATTCTTCTGTGCGGGCGATCGTCGGAAGAATCGCCTGCGGGCAGAATTCTTAAAGACTTCAGAAGAGCTCCCATGTGCAGGTCTAGTTGGGACTGAGGAGCAGAAGTGATGCTCTGTTGCTGTTTGTGAAGCTTGCAGCATGTGCAAATTCGAAAGGCTCGTTGGATAGTGGGAAGCCTGCGATTTCACCCACAGGATCGAGGTGGATGGCCAGATTGTGTGCGATTCATTGTGACTTCGGTCCTGGCCTGGCAGTCGGTCTGCAACAATCCAGCACAGTGCACCTCGGATGACTTGGATATGTTTAAGATTGAAAAACACAGAAACTTACATTTACATATTCACCAGAAGGGGAATTCACCTATAGGGATAATACAAAATCACATTAAGCAAGTAGCAAAGCCAGGATGAGAGGCAAAACTCCCGAGTGTGTTTTTCTTTATTTTTGGGAGGCACCGATGGGCAAAGGGGGCCTGTGCCTAAGCGGTGTTGGTCTCATTTAGTCTCTTTGTTTGCATTCGGCACATTTTGATGGCTCAAAACACAGCCTAAAGACCCAGTGTTGGTCCTATTCTGTTGCTCATGAACGACTTTGGGTGTTCCGTATGTTGAGGTAATAGTCTGGGTAGCTGTGGCTCACACTCTAATGACTCGGGTAGGAACCATCTGGTTTGTTCCAAGAACAGTGGATATGTGTCAACAAACATTTCCGCGGTCAGGTCGGGACTACCATGGCTTCACCGAATTCTGGGCAAGAAACACACAGCTTCACCAACACACACCCCTGCGTTGGCCACACGTCTAACGCCGCCGGCGTATTCTCTCTCCCGGGGCGCCCAGTGTGGCTTGCAGCTGCAGTTCATGGAGGTCTGAAAGGGCATGCAGGGATCGTCGATCTCCCACTGACCTGATCCGGCACGATGGCCGATGGCCTTCCGGGAAGGACGGCCGTGACTTGCTTCCAATGGCTTAAGGGGGGTAAAGGGTTTTAGGGTTTTAAGTACTTGAACATCGATTCTTGTGGCCGAAGAAACACTGCCATCTCATCACATATACCTTGACATTCAACGAGCAATTGCAGCAAGGCGGCAAGCTTCGAGGAGCTCTTTCTATTGAGCGCAAACAAGAGGCAACCAGCGACATTGGAATAATTTGTCGAAGCAAATCAACAGAGTCAAAATTGTATATATATATATATATTATATAAAACTACCTGGAAAGGCGTATGAACACTTTTTTTGTGCGAAGGCCGTATTTGGACAGAATTTATCGTATGGACATTTTAATTAACGAATTAGCGTATTTAGCCGTATGGACAAAAAAACAATACCGTACAAAAGCATACCCATATGAAACCCAAACTTTATCAACATTTTATCGACAAAAACCCAAACAATTATATTGATAAAACCCAATCAAACTCAATATTCGGAGGAATTCCAGGAAATTTGTCCAATTTGACAAAAAAGGCCGGATGCACGGATTTTTTGTGCGAACGTGTTTGAACAAAAAAAGATGCACATTTGGATTCCCTGGTATAGTAGATGAAGAGTAGATGGCACAGACCCCAAAAGGTGGTTTATACGAACCCCCATGTAAAGGACATCTTCGGGTCGGTGCCATCTACTCTGAAACAACTGTAGGTCAGATTGCATGCCTGTAGTCCGTGAAAGATCATCAAACTGAATTACAGCAACTGTCGTGCCGAACATGTATAGGTTTTGCGAGCACCCATGAATCGTGCTGACCATTCCTGACATGCGCATTAAATGCAAAAAGACTTGGGAGTGCTACAATCGAGCCTGACATGTTCTGTTTGGATGTGCAGTTGATCAGTCACTGAATGGGGGCCATGGAAAGAGCAGCGAATTTTCGACTGCGACGTGTTTGGAACCACACATGGTCAGCAGCAGCTGGTCTTCTGCCCCTCTTAGGGCCGCTTTCGGTCTCCTGCGCATCGTCCCTCCCTCCGCATCCTCGCCTCCTTCATGACACAAGGCGACAGGGCGACCCCAATAGCCGGGTGAGCAAGTGAAACGAACCTGGGCATGGCTTCCACCATTGTTTTCAGGTTTTGAAAGGGTTTACCGCTGTCAATGGCGGGTCCCTCTCTGCCAACGCAAAGCAACATCCTGGTTTGGGATCCTGTCAATGACAGGGCATTCCCGTTGAATTTCTGGTTTGAAGAGTTGGATGAACCATCTATATAGAAACACATAAAAACACTTACGTTCTTAAGTGTTTTGGCTTCTGTGTCAGATTTGGCAGTAGTTCCCTTATTCTTGGCTGTTGTTTTGGGATGTTTGGGACGCTGTTTGGCCGCAAAAAACGCGCTAAATGCCGAGGCAATTTGCAATGAGTGTGGCGCGTCCGGGCATTCCCAAGAGGCCATGGGTTTAGCTGGCTGATGCCAGGCTTTCACCAATATATTCCCCTACAAGTCCAGGGAAATGAGGTCATTGACCCGTATACATGGTTCTACTTATCAGAAAACAACAAAACCAGAGGAACATGGTGTATCCCAGGTGGAGCAAGAACAATTGTCAACCAGTCTCTGAAAAGCACCCTTTGCTAGGTGGACCTTCTGTTCCAGATACCCGTATTATTAACTATATAGAACGCTGTATTTCTACTAGCTGCTAACAGTACTACAGTAATTATTGCCGATCAACATTAAGTTATCCTTGCCAGTCACTAGGGCTCAAAATTGCTGCTGTCAATAAATGAAAACTCTCCTCATTAGTCTTCCACTTTTCCACTTCTCACATGGATGAGTGTTCAAAACCCGGTCTGAAATGCGAGGGATGACCATATATAGAAACCCGTTCCGAAAGCACTTACATCTAACTCCTTACAGAAAGTAGAGTTAGATGTCAGGAGTTAGACGAAGGGATATACACAAATCAAAAACAAAACATCATCGATCACTATCTAACACCTTACATCAGCACCTTGTCTAACACCTTACACTCTTCACATGTGTCTGTCTTCCAAGCAACTGCTTCCCCGACATAGCTGCGGTCCAGGTCATGGGCACCGGTCTGGAACGAGAGTCGGGCATGTTTGGGACCGGAAGTGTCTCACAGCAAGAACCATGTGATTCAATCAATCATCGCCAAAAGACAAGCCACAAGTATCGCGTTCCGATACCTACTGGAGACGCTCCGATCGGAGAAGCGCAGATTATCACAGATGATCCCTTTCAAAAAAGAATCCGTGGGTTCGGGTTGTATATGAAGACAGGGCCGATTGGGGAACTACCATCGGTGTGTGACATCCCGCAACAGTTGTTGCTTGAGGATCCTCTTAAAGCACTTCGAGGGAGATTGGGCTACTAGATCCACCTCAGGATGCGTCTTAAACATACAGGACAAATCCAACACAGACAACAGTCTTCGTAAGGCCTCAACAAAATCTCACCTTAGTGAAGCGCAGCACAACTTGTTCGTCCAACAAATGAACATCTAGGCAACATTGGTGCCTCGGGATGTGTGTGCTTCTGGAAATTGCCTAACATCTCCCTTCCTTCCCTTTTCTTTGAGAGCAAGTGCCCAAGAGCACCTGTTGTGTTATACCGAGTTATACCAGCAGTCGAGGTTGTGCAGATTGCCCCTACAAAAACTGTGAGGACCCTGTGCTGGAGTAACCCACGTTGTTGCTTCTATGCGGATAGGAGATTAGCCAAAAAAAGACTTGACGCAGGCAGGGTTTTTCAAAGGAAACGATGGACTATCATGGACCAAACCATACAAACTGCAGGGTGCACTAACTACAGTGGTTTCAGAAGACCGTCTGAGCCCCCAAGTTGGGTGGTTGAGTATATGGACCCCCACATCAGCACGACATGAAAAAACTGGGTTTTCTTTGCCATCGAAGCTCTGAAACCAGTCTTCCAATACAACTGAAACCAGTTTCTGCTGAAAATAGACATCGCAACGCAACCCTTGCCATGCGGTTTGCACCGTAAACGGGATCCGTGCGGATTGAGATTCCCTGCCATGGTCATGGTGTCTTGCCACCCGCCGTGCCCATGGGACAACCTCGTTCTAGGCGTCTTGGTTGGAATCACCAGAACGAGAAAACACAGCAAGAAACAGGCACTCGTGAAGCTCTCTCTTTTCTCTAGTATGTTTTATTTTATACATCTAATACATGTATATAGGACTTGCAAATGTGAATTTATGCTGTAATTTTAGAATTTCAGATTGGCCCATCCACCTTCGAGGAATTCATCGATCAACTCAACGAATTTGCTGGGGTTTGTCATGTCACATTTCTCAGACCACCCATTCCAGAAGGACTGCTACAGGATGCTACAGCCAAAATAAGAACCTGTCATTCCTCCCTCATCAATATTTGCCTTGGGGACAGGTTGTTGCTTAAAATCTACCACTTTCCTTCAATCTGTTTCTCGGCCGCTCTTGTAGAAACGTCAAAGCTGAAGTTTCGCTGCACAAGTCAAGCTTGGAAGCTGTCCGAATATCCTTCGGGCACAGCGCCCAATCAACCAAACATCGAGGCGACCTCGACATCGACCGAGGCTTCTGACAGGTGTTTGGACTGGAGGAAGGTCTCCAATGATCCACAGCCGATCAATGAGCAACTGGCGCGATCGGCTGAACCAACGGCGGCACATGGTAGATTGGAGATGCAAAATGGTGTCCATGTGCTTCAAGGTCACCAAGATGATGCATTTATCATCATTTGTCATTCAAACATCTAATAAGATCTTAATAGATATGCGAATTTCTTGAGTTTTCCAAGAAGGATGAGTATGGAGATTTACAGGACGGGACGCTAAGGCTGATTTCTGACTAGAAATGTTTGGTGAGACCCAAGTAGGTTCAGTCGGTTCACGCAGACTTGCAATAAAACGGTATAGTGTATACACACAGCTTTCCCTGCTGCAGCCTTCCAACCACCACTGATTTAATTGTAAGAAAGTAACCGTTCTTTTACTAAGTTAGGATTTTAAGCTACAACACCAGCTCAACCCAGCGATCCACGAATGGTCAAACGGAAGCCCAAACCAGGGGGTTTCACCTGGTCTCACACGGTGAAACCACGCCTCTCGTCGCCCTCGATCTTCCAGTTCCCGTCCGGGCCGCACGTTGCAGACCTCGTCAACCAAGCGGACCGGTGATGTCAAGCTCAGTGGAGTTCGGTGAGTTCAGTGGGTGGGTTCACCTTCTATTACGGGTCAATTCCAAGCAAAGGTTGAACACGAATACATCTAAACAAGCTGATCAGTCAGAAACAACCACTAGTCGGACCAGTCACAAGCAACAGCAAGCAAACATAGCAATGTGTTCAACGGCCAACAAAGAATCCGGCAACGGCAACAACCATAACCCCATCCATCTGACAATGCATGCCACATAGTCTATCCAAAAGCAAAGAAAGGGACCCTGTCAAAGACCAGCTGGCGTCTCTTCGGAGTTCTGGTCTTATGTTCTATGTCTTACTTCTATATGCTTCTAATTACATACTTCTACCACTCCAACATCCATCCAGCCCCAGTACACCACTACAGAGTTGCCTTTAGTCCTAATATATAGAAGAAGCGACATGCATGGTGAACTGCTTGGGACGCGCACCAAATCAATTCTGGAGGTTCCCTTCGTTCTCCTTCCTTTAGGGCCACAGTCTGGATTTTGCAAGTGTGTTTTGCACCTTTCAGCACACCAAGCCTGCAACACGCCGGAAGTAACACTGGAAACTTCACATGGTCTATTTGGCCAAGCAGCATCTGGGATGTATACAGTATATATATAGTTATTTGGCCAAGCAATCACCCAAAGGAATTCACACCTATATAAAGCATGGTCTTGATTCACTGGTGACTTTTATATGGTCCACGCCGTCTCCAGCTTTGGACCGATCGCTACTGGGCGGCCCGCACGGGCGACCATCATAGCCTCGTTCACATTGGTATTCCACCATCATCCCACCTTGGATCTGTCCAGGACCGGGAAGAACAATTAAAACATATTGCACATGTTTTGGAGATTTTCCCAGGAACCGGGAAAGAACAAATCACTAAGCAAAACCGAGCCGCTGGTCCAACCCTTCTTCGCCTCATCCGTGCAACGGAGGGGACCGGAGGAACAAAACGGTGCGCGGTGACAGCTGATAGGGGCTGTTGTGGATCAACCAACTCCGAAGGTCATTAGGTTTTCAACAAACAACTGGACAGTGGATGCATTCCAATCCTGAAGCACCGATTGTGTTGAGAATTTGATCAATCGTCGACGGAGCGCACCTCGTTGTTCTTGATGATGTAATCGGCATGTTCCACCTGTGGATCCGGAGAAAGTCACCACTCCATCCTCCTTAATCAATGATGCCCCCACCAGTTTCTGCGTGCAAAGGTGCCTCATGTCATGAACCATTTTATCCATAAGGGGTATGGGGGCTACCACTCCAAGGCTCAAGATCCGGGATTGGAATATCGAGAACATGGGATTTCGTTCACTTCTGGGGCGTAGCACCTCGACCACTTGAGTCATGTTGCTGTTCATTGATCGCAGCTCGACCCTCGTTCTTCTTTGGCACCCACATCGGCATTGGGTGCAATGACAGGATTCGGACCATCGGAAAATGACACCCTTAAGGCCCCGACGCTGTCGAGCTGGGAAACAAAAAGCACCTACCGTCCTCCCATGCGGGATTCACCCAGGAACCCTTCCCATCCGCATCACCCTTTCTCCGCATCCGGGCGGAGAAAGGGAATTCACCAGTTACTTCAAGTTACTTCGAAGAAAAAAAAACAAAAAACCATTGTCCATGTCACACCTGGGGGGTCCCTGGGGGTTGAGATGCTTGGAGTCTTCCCGACGGGACACCTCGACGTGTGGAGCTAAGCTCCGTTGGTTCCGACTGGGGAAAGGCCTGGCCTGACCGGTTTGGGTTCCAACCGCGTGACATCCGTGTCGGTCGGCAGTTCCACCGGTTCACCGGTTCGAAGCTGCTCCCACCGCGTGACTGCCGTGGTGTCAGCGGAACCTGTCACCTGTTCCCACCCCGTTCCTGCTCACCGGTTTCGTAGACCGTGTCTGCAGCGATGGAAGCAGAACCTGCCTTCAGGGGCGGCCCACATCCCACCAATTGGCACGAGCCCTGCCTGAAGACAAGCACTCTGGTCAGGCAGGACACCAAAATAGAACTATCCAACTTGGCAACAATAACACTTGAACCATGCAAAAAACCTCTGACCAAAGCCGTTTGTACGAACAACGTGTTAGAAGAACCCTCTTACTAAACCTTTACATGGGTCCACACTTTGACATTCTTTGAAGTCTGGCTCCTTTTGCAAGAGCATCCTTCTGAACATCCATCCTCGTATGTCAACATAGATGATGGTCTGAACATCTATTGTAGAATTATCAAGACCAGGTTTGAGACCTTTGACCATTCCCAAAGTCGGACCGGGATGTTCAAAACAATTTTCTTGAAGAAAACACAAAGCTGAGCATCAAACAGCTGCATATGTCCTGCAGCTGTGCAAGACACCACAGGCTCCCCTTTGTACCTGATTCGCTGCACAAACGGTTTAGGGTGATGGTTGTGCACTCCAACCCAACTGGACCCTGAAGATTGTTGATTGCTTTTGCCACTACCTCAAAAACACAACTTGTGCACAACACAAAACAAATACCAGGTCAATCTTCTTCAGCTAAGGTTGCTGACATGATGGGAGGACGACGTGCAAACCAAGCTTCCCTTAAGCCTACCACACCATTTCAACGGTTACTGTGCGTTCAACCATATTTTCTTCATGACCGACTCCAACACATATATTATATATATATTGCATATATAATAGGGTGTTGGAAGTGAGTACGTACTCCCAGACTAATATGGATAGTATGGTCTTTGAAACTAAAGGGCATCCGACTCGGATGGTCCTGGATACGGAGCAACACATTGGAAAACGTTGGTCTAGTTGGTCACTGTGCGTCGCTTATTTGGCCGTCGGCGATCCGGGGTTCCGAGACGGATCATAGATTGATATAGACCACATGACGCTTTTACAAAAACGATGAGCCTCATGACTTAGGCTGTGATTTTTGGGCTAAGTCATTTCTGTCTGCCTATGTCATTTGCAGGCAGTATAATTGATCATGGATGATAAGGAAACTTCCATGTATTTTTTATCCTTCCCCATCCACTGAGCGGTCAGCAATCACTGCGACAGCCACCAGGCTTCCAGGCCCCAAGGGACACTCAAAGCTTTGAGACGCACACAACGGTAACCTGTACCGCGCAAAACGGGAGATTCCAGGCATGCATTGTTCCAGCGAAAGCTGTGTGACATTGTGTGACCAGCGAGACAAGTTGTTCAGGACCAGATATTGCGTGAAGCGATGTGGTTTAACGTATCTTTGACAGTTTTCTCAGCGAACTCCAGCAAAGCTGACTCCCTCAGATTCTGTAGGAGGAAAACACAGTTTGTTCATGTGTCTTGCACCTAGTTGCTTTTGAGTGGGGAAACTATGACAACTGACGGGGTAGGTATGGCTCTGGTAGGTCACGGACCAAGAATCCGGTCGACAAGCTGCCAGCTTCAGCATCTGAGAATACGAGGGTACAAGCTGCCAGCTTCAGAGTCGGTTTTGAACTCAAAGAGAAGCCTGAAGAAGCCAGAAACTGCCAAGCAAGGTAGAATTCCCAGGGACGCTCGGATTTCACCTCTGTCTTCATGGGTGTACTTTGCTGTGAAATTGACTCCTCACTACTGTTGATGATTCCAGTTTGCATCAGTTTGCCTACATTCCCTGAGCTGGCTCCAGTTTCCAGGACAAGCTCCCATGCAAGAAGGACGTATCAAACCACCAAGGTTCTGCTGACAATACCTCTACCGATGTTCAGGTAGTGCACGATTCTAGCTCACATCCTGTATTTGCTTGTGCTTGTGCAAGAAACCCTGCAAGAAACTAAACGCATTCCACAAAAAGACAACCTGTCTGTGCTTGCCCACACATGCACTGAGATTGTAGCTCCCAACCGTGCGGCGAAAAACAACCGTCCGTCCGTCCCGGAACATGAAATCTGCTGTCCTGCCCAAAACCTTGACACTGATATACAGCACACTGAACACATCTAGACGCTCTGACAAGGTCTGACAAGTATACCGGTGCTAGTCTAATGTGTTTGGAGAGATCCAACAAACCAATGTTCCCTGATTTTTCAGAGAAAGAAGCCGTCCAAGGTCCCAAGGGTCCAGGCCACGTCGTCCATCCCATGATTGAAGAGATTCGATGCCGCACCCTCAATCCTCCTAGGATCTCCGGCCACTCCTGCCCTTCAAAGGTAAGCCTCGGCGCCGATTAGGAAGATAGGGAGGTCCCCATGCCGATGCATGCCGATGCAAGCATCCCGCGATCAAGTTCGCCTCACTCCGCATCGCAAACCTACCGTCTATCGGTCGTTCAAAAAAACCGCGAACGGCTAGCGGCGTCTAGCGGCGTCTGGAACCCGATGATTCGCACCCCCAAAAAACATGTAAACAAACAAACCAAAACCACCTGTTTCCCTGTAGTTAGAGTGATTATATATATTATCTCTGGGCTGGTATGACTGGTCCTGCCAAAAGGCTCCCGCGTCCTGGCAGTTGGTCTGAAGCCTCTCAGAAACGTCTGCGGAAATTTGGAGTTGTTGGGAGATCCCTCCCATACTCACCTACCCCCCTTCCAGCCCGTGCAGCATGGAGATGAACCTTGGTCGCCAATACCATGTTTGTTTTTTGAACGAATGGCTGGAAAAAACTGCTAATGCAAACTGTTTCACATCATATTGAAAGTATAGCTTAACAGCCAAGCGTGGTAGGCTTCGAAAGCTCAATGGGGCAGGCATCACGCTTCAAGCACAGTAGGTCATGGGGACCATGGGAATCCTCCTGCACCAGGTCATGAAAAAACCATGGAAAGTTCATGAAATTCCTTTGTGATCGACTTGCGTGGGACTTGCGCTATGCACGCAATAGCCAGGAGTGAAAGGAGTTCAACGCATCATGGGTCCGTTGCCTTCATTCATCGTCGAGTCGCCAGTCACACGCCCCGCAGCAGCAAGCTATCGTTCGTGGCACACGACGAGGCCCCGAGCCCATTGTAATGATGGATCTTCCACTGGCTCTCCTTCTTGCTCCCCTTGCGATGCTCCTGCAAATCTCACGAACCAGTGGATGGAGTTGAAAGGCTTTTTTCCACTTGGTGACCATGAACTAGTTGTCTAATCAGTATATATTCCCGATACCCAACACAATACGCTAATTTCTCGAGAAATGTGCCGCATGTTGGACACCCTAAAATACAGCTTACCTTTGTGTTTAACACCGTTACTTTCCCACATCACCACATCACCACCAGCGCATGGGCACCCTTCTCCAATGGCACGGAGCCACGTAAATGTATTTTCCACCACCAAGGCCTCACCAAACCGCATGGCACAGCATAACCTGTCAAAATATTTATCTGTTGGTTTCTGATGATGTCTGATGAAAGTTTACAAGCGAATAATATTGAATAAACACTCTTTTTAACATTGATTAATTTAATGGAGAGAAAGAAACACATGAACCAAGGATAATGAATGATTTTACAACACAACTAAATATATTGTTTGTAAACATGTCCTAGGCGGCTTTTCGGTTTTGCCTGAGATACACTCTTGGAGGAAGAAATCGCTTCAGTATAGATATCCTTGATCTGGTGTCCAGTTCCGAAAAAGAGCAGTTCCTCTCAGCCTTCTGGTAATGCTGTGCCCTGTGTGTTCTGTTCCGGACATCGAAGCTCAACCCAAACCGGACAGTTCACCCATTCTCCTTCAAAAAAGCTGGTACACTGGCCTCAGCCAAGGCGGGGATCGACAGGGATCGAACAGGCAGGTGATCGATGATGGTGGATGAACATCCAGCTTGATGTCTAGTCAACCCAGCTTGATGTCTGGTCACTTTGATGTTGATTTGAGGCCAAAACGCATCCCCTGGTGGGTGACATGACATGAGCTACTGCTTGTTCCCTGCATGAGTTCCTTTTGCTGTGGTTTCCTCTGAAAGAAGATCGCTTGCCTAGTATTTTGCGCCGGGATTTCTTCAAGAAGTACCACCCCTTTGAAACCCCCAGAAAAGGGGACACCCCATGGGGACGAATCACTATTCCAACTGCAAATCACATAACAGTATTGCGGGGACAGCACGAAGAGACCCCGAGTCAGACCTCAAGTAATTTGAAGTATTGCTGTGATGAGGACATTACATTCATATACATTCATGGGGTTCTGAGATGATCTGAAGCACAAAAAGCATTTCCGCAGTATTCCGCAGGCTGCACGATGCAGGTTGTCTGTGCCGACCAAAAGAAAGGTTAGAAAGGGCAGCAACCGCTGGACTCATCAGGAAACACTCAGCAGGAAGGACTTGCTTCCTATGCAAGAGCCTGACACTAAACCAGTAGTTGAATTTGAGGTTTGATACATTTACATTGTACACGTACAACATGTGCTTTCACTGGCAGTAAAACGGCCTGCTCATCTTGGGCACTAAATTGCATTGAGAACAAATGAAACCATTTGTCAACACCCTTCCCATCCCTACCCCGAGAGTTAAAAGATCGGTGCAGCAAAACACCTTGAAGCATGGTGGACAGAGACGGTGGACCTCCTCACAGGTGAGGTTGTAGAGGGGCGGCATGGTCTGTAGATCCAACTCGGGCGGCAGAAGCCTCAGACGCAGCGATGCTGCCGGTCAGCCGTCGAGCGAGGCCCTGCGGTTGCTGGTGGCCGGTGGTCGTTCCTTTTACCATTCCACATCAATGACATGTGGAAATCAAGAAAAGAGGAAACCCAATTTCACTCAGGTCAGTTCTTGCTCAATTCCACATCAAGATTTTGAGTGAAAAAGGAAGAAGAACAGGTAGCGGCTTTGGGAACTGATCGGTGAAACTCGTTGGTTCAGCATTGGACAATGTATGACAATTCTGTTAGCCTGCAAAGTCATTCCGTGTTATTTCTAATCAGAACACTTGGAGCAATGTTAAGTACCAGTGGAATATGTGATCATGGTCCATCATGGTACTGAAAAAGGGTTGTTCTCTGAACACGTGTAAAACCTTGCGGGCTTGGATGTGTTGGAACCATGTGGAACCCATACCTGGAAAGCCACGGACCCTTGATTCATGTCGGCACATAGTTTGTCGGTTTCTCTCAGTTTCCTTTCGGGTCGGTGGCGCACGATGCTGCAAACAACAACCATGGTTGCTCCAAGACATGGTGAAACACCCGAAAGAAGTCCCGTGTCGGTGTCGGTGTGGGGTTTCGGTGTCGGGTCCCTTCAATCCCCTGCAATCGGTGTTGGGTCAGGATTCCACCCGTACCGGGTGCCGTTGACATGGCTTGGTGGCTTGGTGGTATGCACATACTCTTCGATGGGATGAACACCTGGTTCCTTATTTAACTATTCTATAAAATGAAAGACAAATGAGACTCGCAAACTGACTTGGTATATTGATCTGATGTATACTGTTAGATGTCCACTAAGAAGAGTCCGTTCCCTTCCCCACTTGGTCTTTCGAACCAACGACTCTCACACAACGACTCCTACAACACAACCAACCGGTCAGGGTAAGACGACGTCAGAATCGTCCAATCCCCCAAACCCAGACGAATGCGAAATAGCTATAGCTATACAGTGTGAATACGCAACTGAGCCCCACCTGAGTCATGTCAATTCCGCTCCCATTTTCGTCCAACATCCACCGGACACCAGGGCTCTGGACCAGCACACGATCAACACGCTCGCGGTGCCCGACATGACCTCGGTGCTGCTCGAGTTCACGTCTGGTGAATCAACCGGACGCGGTGTGGTACGGCTATAGAGGATAGGAGTGGATGGGGAGGATAGTGCCCAGACCAAAGGAATGGGACAGTTGAATTAGAGAAAAACATAGAAACAACATAGACAACGTTATGTATACAGTGACTTATACAGTGTCTACATGGAATAGCCAGCGATCAAGCGATCAATGGATTCTTTGGAACGGTAGTTCCCAGACCATCCATGGGACATTCCATAGTGACCAGACCATCCATGGGTCATGTTCATGAGGTTTTCATGTATGCAACAGTAGCTCTTCGTAGCTCATCGGTCGTCCCATTCGTCTGGTCTGATTGGTTTCCAAGGGACGATCGAAGAGAGAATGCTGAGAATGCGAAATGGGAGGGAGCAGTGCAGCAGCGACTGGCCATTGTTCATCGGCAAGAGCGACTGGCAGGTTGCTGAGGGCTAGGCAAACTTGCTGCTTGTGTAGAAGCACCTGAAACAGTCAGCAAAGTGTTGTTGGAGCCTCATGCAAAAGCCATCAACCTCTCATGTACCACTTGCACCTGCATATGGCTATGTCTGTAAAAGACCTGCGTTTCTCGCCGTATTGCTGTCAGATGTTGGGGACGTCTTTGACTGGTATTCATTTACACCCGACGTGCAAGAAGAGAGAGAGAGAGAGAGCGGGGGTCGAGTTTCCCAAAACATCAGTCTTTGGCAAAATGCCAATTCAGTGGGACGTTCATGTCTTTGCTTCTAATGGAGATGGCCAACCTACCAGCAATGGCCTCCAACCTATACTCGTACTAGCGATGGCCTCCCTACTAGCGATGGCACACCTGGCCCACGCAGCCGACAACGGACTCCCGAGCCGTCACGGAATTTTTCTCACGGTCAGGTTTTCCATGGTTCACCAAACGGTCCATGGGTTCTGAATGGGGGTTGTTACGGATTCCCAATAAAGGTTTTCCAAGTGATCCACGGACTTCCTGGATAGGATGAAGAAAAAGGTCCTTGCACGACCCACAGAGCTATATATACCCTGCCCTACACCTTAACACATCTTAACAAGAACATGTAACATGTAACATGCACATCAAACAAGCAAAGCAATATGTAAAAAACACCTTTAATGAGATCTAGATGACTTTTAGAATTCCAGCTCACCATGCTCCCACGAGTGTTCCCACTGCGGCCGCCTCTCGAGCTTCTCACAACACTTTCGAAGACGAGTCACCTGAAAGGCACTTCGCCGGGTGGCCGTTGCCGAAAGCGGATCATCCACAAAAAAGCATGGCTTGTGCTTCCATCTGCTGATTTTGAAGAGCAAAGACACACAAGAGGCATTCGGCATTCATATTGTTATTTTTGTTGAAAGAACCACAAAACAGCCGCATGCCAAACATTTACTGTGTGGGTCCTGAAGGCCAAGACTCCTTTCTCCAAAAAGGCTTGCCCCTTAAAACACAGTTGGCAAAGAAAGACGCGGAAAAGAACAAGGTTGAACCCAATTCTGTTTTTGATGGCCAGTTGTTCTAGGTAGCTACATGGTCTCACGTGAATTCATATAGTGACTCAAAGTAAATACATGTAAATAATTCAAGTAGTGCAGACTCTTGATACATAACCTCCCCGTATGAAGAGGTGTTTCAATTGAAGTGGGGTGGGTTTATCAATCAAGAGTCTACATGAAGTTGTTAGCACAAACATCGTCTTTTGGGGTCGAACCATCCGGTTGTTCAACGAACTCCAGCTCGCGCACTCCGTTAATCGAACTCCGGAGATATCTCCCCTTCATGTTTCCTGCAGAATGCAGATGAACCGTCAACCGACCTGGGAACCCTCCCCCCAAGGGCCATAGGGTGTGTGTATGAGGGACGGTGGTATTGACCGGGGCCCCTCGGAAACCAAAGTGATCTTCGCAAGTATTTTTGACCGCAGCTCACACACATATATATATATATACAATATATATTTATAGTTATATATATTATGGGACTACATGATTGTAGAGTATGGGATTATACTTATGGGTATATAAAGGCCATCCACCTTGCCGGGATCGGGTTCCCTGAGACCATTCGCTCCGTCTCTCAGCTCCAGTCACTGAGGACTCTTTCGGCAGCTCCGGTGACGCGTCGTCTTTCAGCGCCATGGAGACCTAGGGGCGGTGGGCCATGGCACGAGCTGGGGCCAAGAAGCGTCCAATGACAAACACCAGTGGATTTGGTGGATGGGTTTGGAACTGACCTCATTTGACGAGGTCAGAGTGGATCATGCAAGTGGACACTGCTCTTTCGGCTGAGGTTTCTTCAAAGGACCAGCTGACCAGGCTCAGGTCAGACTGGACCTGTAGGGATTCGCCTGCTCATGGTCTGTTTCCCTTCTTGATCCATGGGACTGGCGGCCCTACGCCATACATGATCATAACCCAGTTTCACATGACCCATCCATGTCACTCTTCCAGTCCCATTCGTCAGACGAATGGGGGTGGAAACATCCTGAATCCCAACCATGTCACCCAGCAAAACGAATGGTCTGGGCGTGTGGACTCCGTTCAGGGCCCGCCGCCGCTCATCACCCGGATGCGATCCAACCGGGTCCGTTTCAGGGCCCAACTCCGAGCGGTTGAGCTGAGGACCGGTATACTCCACATCCTCCCACCCTACCATCCACATCCACCGTGAACAGTTAGACACAAAAACACCTCTCTCATCATCCACGCCCCAAAATAGAACAAGATCTATATATTATCCCAAAGAAGCTTCAATTCATCCTCCGAGTTGTCTCCAAAACATGTATTCGGCCGCCTCCCACCCTCGGAAACAGGGTTCTCCAGGGCGGCGCATCGATGAAACCGTCCATTCGGGGCTCACCTCTGCCAGCTCATCCAGCAGGTTCGTCACCCATAACTTGCCATAGGGATAGGCCTCAGACTTTACAAAGATCCAGCCAGACCCATTCAGAGGGTAAGTTTTGGGCCGCTGTCTTCATTGAGGTCAGTCATGTTAACGAACTACAAGGAGTGATGATGTTTGTCTTCATGCGGTCTGTTTGGACACCTCATCCTCATGCGTCTCCGAATCCGAACTCTTGATACGTATGGGTTGATGTCATGGTAGAGGTCTTACTATGCGTGCAGAACCAGCAGCTGAAATGCAACACAGGGGTACAAACATGATAAATCGTTTCTTTTGTGCACAAACCAGCGGTTTGGTATTCGGAACATGGTCATCCTTTGGGCCGAATCTGCCACTTCCATGATACTTCCAGAGAGTGAAACCATGCTTCACAACCTAGCACTTGTCCTAAGCTCCTAGTAGCTTCTTGTTCCTAGTAGTAAGGCCAGGAGCCCCTAGTAGCATCTTGTGAAACCATGCTAAGACATTGTGAACTGAAGTTGTCCACGATCCCAACTTCCAAACCTTTCGACATTCCAGGTGATACGGGAGAGGTGAGGCTGAGAACATGTGATATCACAGCAAACCATGATATCAGCTGTAGGCTGTAGGGATTTCATGGCATGGCATGGACTTGTGAGTACTCGTATCATGGACCAAATTGCGCCAGGCTGTCCAGTTCACGAACTGTTTTCTTGACCAAAAGCCGGTTGTTGTCTTTATCTTCAGGTCTTGAAATTGTCTTCAGGTCTTGACATCCTGGACTTCAGGTCTTCAGGTCTTGAACTGTTTTCCATGTCCAGCTCTTGCAGTCCTTCAGCCCCGGTCGACCACCGTGCCGTGACGGTGCCGACACTGGGCTCTTCCACACCCGGTCTTCCCGGCCGCTTCGGTTGCCGCACATAAGTCGCGTGCAGAATGCATAGGATGGGCCTGGGACGTGTTCCGTTTTGGGCCAAAAAGGCCAAAACATTTGGAGAAGGAGCCAACTACGGGGGGGGGTTGTCTTGGTGTTGTCACACACCAAGAATTCGGTCGGCCGCGCGAGCTGCAGCTTCGGCTGATCACCAGCTAGGCTGAAAAAAAAAACAAACTTTAAGCTTATGGCTGTGGGTCATGACAGCAGGAGACCGACCGGGTACGACCTTCCCGGTCGCTCGCGGCAGCTGGACTGGGCACCAAGCTTTGACCCATCCCCATATCCCAGATCACTCGGGTGAAGCCTGGGACCTCGTCTTTCAGCCCAAAAAGGATCAAACAGGTTCAAAGAAATATCTCACACTCTTCGGAATAGATACTTAGAATCAACATATCAGGATCATCCGACCTGGCTGGCCGCCAGAACTGCCCCGGGAGGTCCCCACCCAGGAAGGGGGGGCTGCCTTATAAAACAAAAGAAAACTGAGGGCCCGCTCTTTTTAAAGGGAAAATGAAAAGGAACGCAACCAAACAAAAACACCAACAAAAACACAAAACTGACCACAAAACTGACCACAACTTTGTGTGTGTGTTTTTTGTTGTTTTTTTGTGATTGTTTTTTGGTGGTATGAGTTGTGTCTTTTTTGTGCCTTTTTTGTGGTATGAGTTGTTTTCTTTTGGTATGACTTGCGTCTTTTTTTGTGGTATGATTTGTGGTTGCGTTTGTGTTTTTTTTTTTGTGGTATGACTTGTGTTATTTTTTTTTTGTGGTATGCTTTCTGGTCGCATTGTTTTTTTTGTGGTATGACTTGTCTTTTTTTTACTTTTTTGTGGAATGATTTGTGGTCGCGATTGTTTTTTTTGTTTTAATGTTATGACTTGTGATTTTTTTGTGGTATGATTTGCGGTCGCGTTTGTGTTTTTTGTGGTATGGCTTGTGTGGTTCTTTGTGTGTTTTGTTTTGTGGTATGATTTGTGTTTTTTTAGGTATGACTTGTGTTTTTGGTGTATTCTTGTGGTATGATTTGTGGTTTGTTGAATATAAAATCAAAGGTGAGTGGCAGGAGACAAGGCCATGTGCATTGATGTTGTGACTTTTGTGGCATGATCTGTGGTCGCATTTGTGTTTTTTTTTTTTTCTGTGGTATGACTTGTGTTTTTTGTGTTTGTTTTTATGTTTTTGTGGTATGACTTGTGTTTTGTTGTGCTTGTTTTTGTTGGTATGATTTGTGGTCGCGTTTGTGTTTTTTTTGTGGTCTGACTTGTGTTTTTGTGTTTGTTTCTTGTGGTATGATTTGTGGTTACGTTTTTTTTTTGCTGTCCTATGACTTGTGGTTTTTTTTTGTTTTTGTTTTTTTTGTGGTATGATTTGTGGTCGCGTTTGTGCTTTTTTGTGGTATGACTTGTGTTTTGTGGTGATAGTTTTTTGTGACATGCTTTGTGGTCGCATTTGTGTGTTTTTTGTGGTATGACTTGTGATTTTTTTAATGTTTTTTTGTGGTATGATGTGTGGTCCAGGGCGGAAGACGACCACAAACGATACCACAAAAAAACAAAAACACAAAAAACACAGGAATTTGGGGCGGGGAGCCTGGAGCGACATGGGGAGCGAGCCAGGGGGTGGGGAGCGGGGAACCAGACCCGGACTTGGCTCTCATGCTGTGAGAGCATGAACAACAGTTTCATCTTGTGGTAAGGGTCAATCATTCTTTGAATTGCCACTTGAGGTTGACCAATTAGTGAAGGGATGGTGTTAGTTGTTTTTGGTTTGCAAATATATATGTTCAGATTCGTGTTCTTTAGAGTTAGCCCGCCCACTGAACTAATCACTTTTCATTTGCTAGACCAGAACCCGCCCACTGAACCAATCCTTTTTCATTTCCTAGACCAGAACCCGCCCACTGATCCAATCATTTGCATGTCCTAGACCAGAAATTGCAATCCAATTTCCCTAAATGACTTTGAATATGGTGGTTTTTGGGGCCCTGACCCTTTACGGGCTGTTACTGTGGAGACGCGTTCGCATGTCCTTTTCGCCTGTTCCAGCATCGGGCACCACCCCAACGTTCGGGCCGCCGTCCACGTGGCGCTGCTGTAGGTCAATGGCAGATCACACCGCCACTGTTTCCCGCAGCTAAACCAAGCTGTGGCATACCAAGCTCGCTGAGCTCGCGGCATTTCCAAGGAACAAACCAGGCTGTGCCACAAATAGATCTGGCTGCGAACATCCGAGACATTGAGAGACCCCATGCCAATGTCTCTGCGATTTCTTCGAAGGAAAGCAAATCCATCCGAGGTTTCATCATCCGACTGGCTGTGATAAAAATCATCTGCTTGGAACGGATTCACAGCTGAATGACTTCATGGCTGTCTTCAACGAGAAATCCCCAATTTTTTGCACACATAGTCATAGTATGTCATAGGCTGAAAGGCTCACACAGTATCGATAATCTCTCAAATTCGAGTGTCGCATCTTGAAGAACAAACAGTCCATATTTTAGACATGTATAGAAATGCACCGTATGTAGAGATTCTACGTAACACATCTTAAACATGTTCCGCGTGCCAAAGTTCTGTAGGCTTGCAGTTAGTTATCCATCCAACTCCAGCAACTCAGCCTCTTCATCATCTAGTCGAAAGCCATACCTGCCCGAGATGATAAGTATGACTGTCCAAACTCTGTGCAAAGCAAGCACAAATGAGAGGAAGTCATCTTCTCAAGATCAAATCCTCTAAGATCCTCTAAGTGTTCCATCTTTGAGGCTACCAACAACACATAAATGAACCCCGCTTGATACATGGGGTACCATCACGTTTTAGCTAGTTGGAGCCAGAACCGGCCGGAAAAAAGAAAAGAACGATATTGCCAACGGATGGGGTTCTGGGTGATTCACCTCTGCTATATGTATCTCATTCTTGTGGTCAACCTGGCTGTGTCGGATCACTTGAAGAGCAACCACTGGAAGTAGGTCACGCTCACCACAATCTTGACCTCATCCGCGGTGCCTATCACCGTCCCCCGACCGGATCACGACCGTCCCTCGACCCAGAAGGATCTTCCAAAAGGATCTTTCAAAGGGTTCGGTTGGGGGGTTGAGACCCCACATTTTGAGCTTCAAGATGCTTGAAACCCTGAGGGTACGATGTGTTTTTCATGGTATTCTGCGGATCTTCTGAGAAGCCAAATGGAAAAATTCTCTTAAGATGGAGACCCATCCGGAGACTCAGGTCTGCGCGCCCCAGAACTTCCAGTACGGCTGGATTGGGTGCAAATAGTCTTTGAAGACCTCGTGCGACGATTTGAGATCTGGAGTTGATAGGGACTCTTGAGTCACGGGCTGAGTCTAGCAAACTTAGTAGTTAAAAGGATGTATAGGGACACCATGGGACACCTCACAAGCAGCACAGTTCACAAGCTCACCAACAATCAGGATTCAACAGCTGTATTCCAAACACACCTTTCTTTCGAACCGGGTCCGACCCGATGCGAAGGGAACCGGGGCGACCAAACCGTGTGCAAAATCGCTCTCATGCTCTCTCACCGGCACACCCCTGGTTGACGGAAAATGACAAGAAAATGACAATGTCAGCAAGTTACAGTAGCAAGGAAGGTAGCAAACGTACTTGACAAGTGAAACCAAGCTCTGCTAGACGGTGCTGTTCGTCATGACCCATTTTCAAGAACTCGAAGGGACGAGCAACACACGGAATCCTTCGATCCTTCGATCCTTCGAACGGAATTCACTGGCCGTTTGGCGCGAAGCGTTTCGCGCAAGGGGCCATGAATGGGGGTGTCCAGCCAGTTTGAGGAGGGGTGGAGGGGGGTTGGAGGCTTGATCACGATACCATACCATACCTGGAACCCAGAGATGACCCCTGTCTTGATGTAGGAGGTTTGGAATCGAAGCAAAAAACATCTAAATCTCTTGCGTGCTTGGCAGTGCTTGGCAGTGCTTAGTGGAGTCACATGCCACCGACCGACTCTTCCGGACCGACCCCACGACTCTCCCGGTCGGCATGGGGACGACCGGGGACCCCTGCCCTTTCGAAGGCCACGACGAAAAGAAGAGCAGCGGAGCAAAGCATGTAGATGATCCTCGGTGGCTCATCATGGTCCATCAAAAAAGCATCCGTCCAAGCCTAGTGGATCCAGAAGCCTTGCTAGACCCTTCCAAAATACACCAAGATACTGAAAGTTTCATGACTGATCCGGGGAAATGTGGTCGAGGGGTTCTCCTCGGAAAGGAACACAAGGTACATCAAAGTACACACGATGAAAGCGTGCATAAACTCACGTGCATAGTTCAGGAGAAAAAAAACTGCAGCATGGTGCTGATCTAGGGTTCCGATGGTCGCTCAAACTCTTAAAAACACAAGAAAACACACTGTCAGGGGGCTTGGGGTAAACTTGAGTTGCAGAACTGTGCTGGGGGCTACCATCTGGAACATATACAGTATAGTTCGACTCTTTTAGTACTGTAAAACATTGTAAAACCTCATCTTGAAGATACTGTAAGACCATGAACACTTTTCGGACTTGAGTCGACAAGAAATCAAAAGAAATTTTATGAGGTGGGGCCAGTTTTGAAGAGGGGCTTCGCTGTTGTCTGATGGACCGGTCCTAAGACTGACCAGCCTCAGCATGCCTCCGCCTCAGCCTCGGCCTCTCTTGGGACCTGAGGCGCCAACCCCTGAGCCGTCGGATAGATATTCTTGTCATACCACACGTTGCAGGAGTCACAGTTGCCGTAGACCTGAAAGAGTCCCAGGCGAAGAAGAAACCCAGGAAGACGCCGGCCACCCGGCGCACCCGTGGGAGGGAGGAGCGACATCACGGAGAACATCTTCGCCAGAAATATGGACGCCACGGAACTGCAGTTCACAGGAACAATGAATTCTTGATGTACAGCAGTTTTGGCAAACATACTTCCGTAGAGCGTTTGCATGGTGATTTAACATAAAACAGGTGACTTTTCGCAAGCCGGCGGGTGACTTTTGACTAATGCGTTTCCATGCGGCCGGGTGACTTTTTGCAAGCCCGGGTGACTAAACCCCGACGCTTGTAGACACTCAGGTTCTAGGGAGACACTCTGTGAAACTCTTGTTACTTCCCCCCCTTCGATGAAAGCCTTTGTCAGTTTGTGTTTAACACGTTTATATACTGTGTTAACAGGCGATTAGCCTACTTAGACCGCAATACGCGCCTATTTTGCTTGAGCCAAAGTCAAGTGTATGTGAGACATGAATACGATGTACAACTGTGAAACCACACCCCCCGCTGAGCGCATATACGGAGGAGTGAAGTATGTACAATGTGCATGAATTCGATCGGCTACGAATGGCAACCGGTCCCCCGGCACGAGCAAACGAACGGGGCTCGCCTAAGAGATAAAGCCGATGAAGGAAGACCTCAGAGGCACTGGAGTCAGGCACAATGTACTTTAGTTTCACATATGTTTCTCATCATTTTCTCACAGTCATGCAAAAGTTATAGCTCTTCTTTTGGGCGCTGTGCAAGTGACCAAGGCATGTTCACCTTTGAGAAAGCAAGAGTGGAACCTCTACGTGGCTCACGCTCCCGCGTGGCGAATAACCATGGTCGCATGATTGATGAAGAGGAATTTTATCCAATATCATCTTTAATTTGTGCATCCTCATGTGCTGGTCAGCTGACCCGCAATGAGAGCGGCCACGATAAGGCAACCGCTCCCGCGGTGCGATGAGACCTCCTCGCAAGGAATGGAGCTAAAATGCCGTTGGTATTTTGTTTTGGTTTTCGGTTTTGTCCAAGGCAACGGCTCCCGCCGTGCGAAGACCTCTCACCAGCCTCGTCGCTGATTCCAGTCGTGGTTTCCCCAGCCCCCACGGCTCCAGTCAGAATCACGCCATGAGCGATCATCCGAATGCCACCAGTCACTCGACCACCAGCTCTGTGATGAAGAAGGTTGGTCTCGTGATCCGTAGCCGCGGGATTCCCAGCGGGTGTCGTGCTGATATGCACTGTGCTGAGATTGCCGTTGAGCGAAGCTCTTGGCTGCCGTCGATCCTGCCTTTGTCTGTGGGATAATCATTGATCTCTGTTCTTTTCCAATCGTCAGAGCGTTGCCTGGAATGCGTTCGCAGTCTTCGGCCATGAAGGCGAGGAGGTCGTCGAGAATGTCCTGAGGGTCTTCGAGGTCCGACTTCCATTCATCACCGAACCCGCAAATGGGTGGACGCTTGTAGCTGTCTGCATACAGAGTTGCGAAAACTTCTGGTCGGTGGAAACGGTTGCGCCAATACACGAAGAACTCACGAGAAAGGTCTGATTCGCCAACGATGTTGGGGTCGGCGATGTAGACGATCTTCCCGGCATATCGGTGACCTTCGCCCTTCATGATCATTTCCCGCGTTCTCGGCGGGTCAGGCACGACTGCATTGGCAAGCTTGTCAATGAACCCAAGGCACAATGGTGTTAAATCTTGCGCTGCGCAGTTAAATGCGTAGAAGGGATCAATGAGTTGCCGCTGCATTACAGTGACTGACATGCGCTCTGCTTTCTTGACATGACTCTTGGCATTGTTCTTCAAGATCGTTAAACCAGACCTCGAAGCACGAGCGATCTCGTGGCCAGGCGTCCCCGCCGGCGTGAGCCTTTCTCCTGATCCTCTGAGCTCGTCATCAGGCACCATGTCCAGCGACACATCAATTCCGAGACTAGTGGCAATTTCTTCAATCCGGATGACTTGTGCCGCCTTTCCAAGGTCAGATGACAAATGGAGGTAGGCTCCGCAATTGACGCATGCCAACATGCCGAAGGTATACAGATGCTTGCACTGTTGACACTGGCGTTCTGGCATGAGACGTTGTTCGACTACAGCCCAAAGGGTCTTGCCCAAACCTTCATTGTGGGGGTCAAAGGATCGTGTGTTGAAGCGGCGATAGTCCTCATAGTCCTCCATGATCATCGGGCTCATTTGGTTCCAGGGTGCATTGCCAAAGGGTTTTCTTGCAACGTATGACTGGATGAGCACGTCAAGATCAGGATTGTTGGGACCAGTTCGCATTTGATCCTTGACATTCATCAATGGAATTGGGTCCTCATAGTAGTATGGCCTATCGGTCTTGACAAAACCACACCACCTTTTGTAGTCCGACATGACATTCATCAACAACGTAAAGAATGTTGAGTTTTGCAGTTCATCATCTCCGGCAAGCGGTCCCCCGCTGCGATCTTTTCGAAACTGTGAAATAGCGGGATCTTTCGTCGGCATAGATGTGGTTGGCATAGACAAAAGAACCGGATGACATGTCAAAGCCGTAGATGACGAACTGATTTGGAATCCAGTCGGCACAGAGGATTGCCCCAGCTGTCGTCTCAACAATGCGCAGTCCCTCTGCAATCATCAACCTGAAGTCGAGAGCGAAGCAGAGCGGTCGGGTTGCGGCCATGGAAGCAAATTGGGTGTCTGAGATCGACCATGGGTCCTCCTTTGACAGAAAGCTGTACTTGTTCGCAGCTTTCAATCCACCCGGCAAAATGCCCATGTTGATGATGTCCATCATCACCGCATTGTGTGTATAGTGATACACAATCGAGGGCTCTACATCCATGACCTTGATAATAGAGTTGACTGGGACCTGTGGGAACTTGCCATCAATGAAACACTCTTGAGTGAACTGAGGATCCAATGTGATCAAACGAGTGATCTCAGGCATTGCGTTCTCCACATTCCTGGTCGCCCAATGGTTGTGATTGGCAATTGCTTTCAGCTTGATGGGCGTGAACCCGTACTTTCCCGCGACCAGAGTCCCCTCCGGCGGTATCTTGACCTCGACCATAAAGCGATGGTTGTTCACCACAACGAGAATCAGCTCTTCCAGTGTCAGTCGGGCGACGAACTTCTTCTTCACGTACCGGTAAACACTTGTAAAGTCCATCCATAGGCCAGGCAAGAAAGGAGGAGGCTCCACGCGGTTGTTCTTGGCGATGTGTTCCCACCCGCGGAGCAAGCTCGTCACTCTCTTCGAGATCCATTGTTGGTCTGAGCTGAGTGACATGTGCTTCACCCCGGGCAGATCTTTCGTTGGACACACAACAATTTCGCCGGGCTCGCCCAAGTAGGGATTGCCGAGAACATTAGGCTGAGGCTGATCAGTGGGCTTTGGACGCGGCTTTGCCTTGATCTTAGGTGATGCAGCTTCCTTCGGTCCCGGAAGTGGCGGAGGTTGAGACTTTGGTGCTGATGCACTGGCCTCGGCTCCCGCCGGGCGTACGGTTTGCTGCTCATCAGTCTTTTTCGATGATTTCGGGGCAGGCTCTTCGGCTTGATCATCGGCACTTGTTCGCTTCGTAGACGGCGAGAAGGTCACAGTCTTTTTGGCCGTAGGTTCCTCAGGTTTGGGTGCTGCACCCGAAACTTGCACCGGCTCAGTAACTTCTTTGAAGTGACGAAGTGCGTCACCGGTCAACTCGGGTAATGAGCTTTCATCGGTATGTAGCCTGACAATGTCCGTACCATCGGGTTCATCGGACATTTGGTAGTCCACTGCACAAACCTTGAACTCATTGCCACGCATTTCGGGCGTTAGCGCTGTGAGGATTGGCTCCTTGAAGAGGATGACTTCATCTTCGTCCTCATCCTCGTCAACATCCATGAAGCCGTCATCCACAGCCTTTTGCAGGTGAGGTTCGATGAGCTGATTCATGATGTCAGGATCATCAATCGGCTCGGTTGACACCATCTTCTCGTCTTCTTCGGTGACGGGAGCTGGGACATTCTCTGGATCACCAGCCGCCGACACGGCAATGGAACGGGTAAGAAATTCCATTCCAGGAGTCGTTGATGCTGCTTGATTGGACTGATCACGGCTCTCCGTCCCCGGAGGCGATACAGCACTATCCTCCAGAAGCTTATTGAACGTAGGCTCAACTTCTGGCGGTTGGGCTGGGTCACCCTCCATTGGAACATCAAGTGGATCAACTTCATAGCGCACCTTCCAACCCGCGGTCCCCCCGGGCGAGACATTCTTTCGCTCTCCCTTGAGGTAAGCATTCAGAGGATGGTTCAGTGCTGCTTTGATCATGTCTTCATCTGCATAGGTGACGTCTCCAAGGTCATCGAAGCGGATGATTTCGTTGGAATCAGTCAGGGTCACCACTTCATCCATAGGATTGATCGCGGTCTGCCGAGGAGGGTCATGGTCATCCCATTCATCCAGGAACAGGTAGCCCTTCATCAGTCGCTCACGACGAGTGCGTTCGCGGGCACGCTCCACGAATGACATGGCTCGAGGCTTCCCAATAAGGTTGGCCTTCTTGCGTAGAGAGTCCACCCCGGAAAGGATCCAGTAGTGGTAGATGAACAGGCCCACCGCAGAAAAGTACCGGAGGAAATAATACCTGTTTTCATCTGTGTTCTCACAATGGAGCCCATCGTATCGGGTGCACGAGCGAACGAGCGTTGTGCCGGTCACAGCTGTTACTCCGAGTTTAGTCAGAGTCTCGGCTATCAACACCATCTGTCGGGAATAGTCCTGAGGGAGGCCGTAGGACTGACCATCGCAAAAGCAAATGCAAATCACCGCAGCAACGTCTTTCCTTTTCCGGAAGTCCGCAAGTCGTCGCAGTTGTTGGGTGTGCTTTTGCGCGAGTTCAGCTTGGTAGTCAAAAGCCGCTTTCTGTTTGGCAGGATTTTTGCTGATGGCACGGCTGTCAATCCAGGAATTTCCAGTGAATCCATGGTTTCCGTAGACATCATTTCCTGCGTACGAC